CCCAACATTATCTCTAGTACATCTTTTTCGTCAGAAACGGAAATTCCATCAACAACGTTAGAAACTCGAGCTGAAACAATTGAACAAAATGAGAGCACTACTGCAAATTCTAACGCTGAAATCGAAGCTGTATCGATCGAATCGATCAGTCAAGAAAATTCTACACCTAACATTATTTTAAGTACATCTTTACCTGTTGTCAGTGAAACCACAGAGTAGTCGACTGTTTAAATATATTAAAATGTACCAATTGTAATAAATAATAAGTCGTAAAATAAGTTATACGCGCAATTTATAATATCTGAAAATATGCATTGACGTAATATATAGTAATCTTAATTCTGGGTATAAAAATAAAAACAAGAAGAAAAAATGAAGCAATGAAAAATTCCATGTTAATACACAATGTTTATTAAAACACGAGAAAATATGTTCTTGAGTATGCATTTCTTCAATGTTATCACGTATTCATTCGAAATTATGACTAATCAAACGGGAAGTTTTTAATATAATTTCAAAAGAGATAATTTCAAGTCAAATAATGTCAAATTATGTTTTATTTTTATCGAAATATATTCAATATAAAAGTGGTAGAATCTTTTCAATCTACCTTGATCTACTTTAGAAGAACTTTTGTATAGGCAAATCATCGATGTATTATATCACTTGTTTCTTGAATTAAACATAAGTTATACATACATATATACATTCGATCATTTTGTATAATTCTTCGATTAATGAGAGAGTACTGTTTTTCTATGTATCAACTTAATTAACTCTATCTATTCTCTTAAGATTATGTGCGTATGTTTATATATCTGAATATGTTTTTATCGATTCTATCATCGAAACTGTACAATTATTGCACAAGTCTCGTACACTTTGACAGAGCCTAGTCAGAAGCAATCTTGTGGGATTCCACAAGGCCATTATAGCTGACTATAGCGTCACATACATCGTATTCAAACGACGTTCCGTATCCATCTCGTTAAAAAATAATAAGAAAAGAAAGAAAAGAAAGAAAAGAAAAAAAACACTAAGAAGACGAAGAAACGATGGACCTTTATTTTTACGAGGGAGAGAGAAATAAACAGTTATTTTACCCAGAATACTATTGAACTTATGAAATTATGTCATTGGGTATATATGAATTCGATGAAAATCGAGATGCCCGTTCGTTCGATGACCACGAACAACACTTAAGAAGAAAAGGATATATTACGTGGACAGAGACGACTAGAATTTAAATGTGACTTTTAAGGTCATGCGTATACATTAAAAAAGGGTAGAGCAGAGTCACGGAGAACTCAGAACGTTTTTAGACATGGCTTCGTACGTTAAGTACTTAGTTTTTATTTGTTCTTCCGTCGTTGTGCTCGCGAGAGCAGGTAAGGAACCTTTTACTATTTCGCTCGAAATGACCGAATATTTTTATTTTTATTTTTATTTTCCAACGTGCGACCAAATGTGTGACAGTGTTCTCTTACAAATATTCAAACTGTGTCACAACACAGACATTTATGATTCGGATTAGTATAGAAAATTTCAAGTGAAATGGTGACAATTCAGTCACCATTGTGATGCAGTGTGAATTATTGGAACGTTAAAGTATCGATTATATTTTATCTCATATGGAGTACTTGAAATCTAGACGTTTGACAGTTGACATGCATTGTTTCTTTTTCTCCTATTTTATCGTGACATGTATCTGAAATGTGAAAATTAGTTTGTAAGATAATAACTTTTGAAACATGTGGAAGTTGTATATGTCATGAAATTTTAAAATCAAGGACAGGCTAAGGGAATAGTTTATAATTTGTAGGAATATTACTTTGTTTTGTAATTATTAAAATTTAGTCGAATTTTTCAAAAGTATATTAAAAAGTATACAATCACGGCCGCATAGAAAATTCGCTGAGTTTTCTTGTCTTCTCGTTGAAAGGAAAAAACGAATAGAGAGAAAGAAAGACTACATTTTCCAACGTGTTCGACGTGACGAGAAAAAGAAATGGAAGGTTATAAAAGGTTTAGCGTGTTCATTCCCTTTCGAACAATTTCCTCTTTTCTACGTGTCACGAAGGAAATGTTTTCTTCTTCTTCTTCTTCTCTTCTCTTCTTTCTCTTTTTCTCTTTTCTTTTTTCTCTTTTCTCTTTTCTCTTTTCTCTAGTCTCTTTTGTTTGTTTTCCTCTTCATTCATGCTCGCAGACGATCGCGTGCACTTCAACGATGAACACGAGAAACGATGGAACACACCACCAGAACTGACACCAGAGCAGGTTACCAGGAAAAAGGTAGAGACGATAAATGGAAGAGCTGAGGCACGATTTCTTCCATTCAGTGCAAGCTTCAACATAAACTCTGGCCAGGACAATAGCGAGGCTTTGCAATTGGGAGCGAGCCTCGGGGGTATCAGTGTATCTCACAGTTCTAGTTTCTCTCAGGTTGCAACCAATTCCTTCGGGAATACAGGGTATGAGTAAAAAGAATTTTACTCGCGACTTCCTATTTTTACGACTATTTATATTTTATATGAAAAGGTAATAGAGTAATAGAGTAGTAAATAAAGTGTGATTAATTGTTTTTTTAAGATCTTCGTTATCTGCTAGTCAATCTTCGTCGTTCGCTGCAGGATCGGCAGGAATTTCTGCATCGAATGCTAATTCATTTAGCGTTGGTCAAACAAGTGCTTCCTCTCAAGCAAACGCACAAAACGGCCAGGCAAGTTCTGGTTCGCAGGCATCGATCGGTTCTTCCGTGCAAGTTCTCTCCGATGGTTTGATACTAGGACAACCTCAAGGTTCAAGAAAACCAATTTGGACCAACATCGGACCTAATCATGATTTTCCTGGTGCGATATTCAAATATTCATCATTATCTATGCATAAACCTGTTGAATATAACGCGAGTCATTAGCATAATTCGATATAAGTAATTTGATACCTTGTCAACAGGTCACCCAATCTCCAACAGACCAACATTAACTATACAAGAAGCACCAATCACCGCCACTAGCAGCAGCAGCAGCAGCAGCAGCAGCAGCAGCAGCAATGGACCGAAACGACCGATAACGTTAACGTTAGGTGGCTACGATTCGCGCTGGCAACAAAATAGACCACAACTCGAAACGAACGAATGGTATCCTAACGGGGGAAGCAACTTTCAAGGACATCAGTGGAGGCCACATTCAAAGCACGAGTATGCTCAAGGCTATCCGTCGATTCCTAACTCGTGGTTGCAGGGTCAAGGACAGTCAACAAGCGGAGGTTCTGCTAATTCCGCAGCTCATGCTCATGGATTGATTACTTCGGTTCATCGAAATCCTTATGGACGAAACGATGGCAACTTTGCTAATGTCAATTCCATGAATCAAGGTGGACTATCTATGGACTTTGTCAAATTTCCTAGACAAACTCATATTCAAAGTATACCAAGAGAATTTGTCAGGAGCAAACAAACGTTCAATGGCAAACATCGAAAAGAAGAAACGGATCTTGTAGAAGGTATCGTATCGGACATCGCAGATACGGTATCGGATTTGTTAGATATTTCGTAATTTTATTTCTTTTGATCTACCGACACTATATTTTAGTGATAATTCATTCATTTGACTCACGATCGTAGAGTTCGATAGATGATTAACGATCTGTTCATTATTTCCTTCTCAACGTTATCTCCTTATTCGAGGATGCCATTCCGAGAAATTGATCCACCTTGAGAGATACAAAGAATTAATTAATATTCTCATAAATCTCTCTGCACAGGGATGCAAATTATTATTTATCGTAGCGTTGTAAACGCTCTTTCATTCAAAATATGATCAAGTGCGTTTGCAATTATAGCATTTATATATATTCTATGAATCAAAGTATCGAGAAATTGTATTGATTGTCCCATTTACGTCACTGCAAGATGCGTCAAATAGGTTCCGGCGTTTAAACAGGTGAAGGTCAAAATGCACCACAAAACCAACGAAAGATAATATCGTTCGCGCTTCTATTAAATGATGGTACAAAAGATTTCCTCCTTAACATCTGTACGTACATCTTTACTAACATAAGATAAAATAGAAGAAAAAATAATTATGAAAACTTTTACTAGTCCTCTCAAAGTACTACCGAATATATAAAATTAGAAAAAAATTCGAAACCATTTACTAGTACTATAGTAATAATAATATTAATAATTATAATAAACAAGGGACATGCCAAGTTATTATGTTGCAACGATAAATACAAATGGTTTATTATTAGTATTATTAGACAATCTATAATTATTATCGGAACGTTAAAAACGTCATACGTGTATAGTGCACGTTTGTACGTGCAACAAACGATTGACTGAAAAATAAAAAGTTAATTGCAGGAAACGTGATCGCTACACTCGCAGTAATCAGTATCCATGAATTTTTCTTTCGATAATTTGCGATATTTTGATAGGGGGAAGTGCGAGTGACTAACTAATAACAAGCCAGTACGGATTCTGAAAATCCCCGATCAATTATTACATACTATGGAATTCATTATTCGTATGGTCTAGAATAAAAAAGAAATAACTCTATATAAAGTAATTCATTTGAATGAATTTAATTGATGCAATGGAACAAAAAAAGAAAATATTTAAAAGAGGAAGAGTTAAACCCTTTTCTCATAGTCGCGTTCTATGCTTTGAATTATTGACTCGATGACTTTTATAGCTTACATACTCGTAGCCATTAAGTAACCCCGTTAACGATCTCGACCGTCGCGTCGACGCGTGCTCTACGAGTAGGAGGTAGTAACCCACTCTCGATAGATAGCATGCATATATGTCAGATTTGTAAACGATCAACGACCAACGACCAACGACCAACGACCAACGACCAACGACCAACGACCAACCAATAGACGATTGGACGAATCGACGAGAAGGAAACGTGAACAAAAAATCAATGATAATCCTACGAAGGATTATTATTCTTCCGTCTGACCTGAACAGCAATGGTCAAGGATAAGCAGGATTAACGTCCCTCTTCTTGGCGATCGTTACTGTCATCGCGGCATTGCTTTCAAATCTCAAGCGAGTTCGCATATAGGAAATGGCCAATGATCTCACACTTTTTTCCAAGTAAGAGGATTGCGCAAACGATTTCGAAGAAATGTAATTATTAAGCTCTACGTAAAGATGATTTAGGGTCCTTGCAGATTATTTATGTAACATGAATTTTTATTAGAAGAAACAACAAGAAACAAAAAGACAAAAAACAACAACGAATTACAATATGCACAAGAGAAAAGATTTAAGCATGAAATTAGATAGATATTAATAGTGCGTATAATTGTCTTGGGAAAAGATCTAATTAACTTGAATTGAAGGGATTAAAAAAAGTCAAAAGGAAAGGAATAAGACGTTAAAAGCGAAAGGGAAAGATGAAATCTGTCTTTATTTTAGGTTGCATACATTATCCGGTAGCATGGATAATGCTTTCGAGATATGCTCTACAATGTTTAATCTAAATATAGCTACATCGTTAAGATAATCATCGGTGAGAAAGAAGAGATAGGTGCAACAAGAGAGTAGAAAAAAAGTATATAATCGTCGAAGAAGAGAGATCGCGAAAATGCAAGGCATCCTGGCTATGAAACGCATTTAACTGCATCCATACGCAAGCAAGCAAGCAAGCAAGCAAGCAAGCAAGCAAGCCTTATTCGCCGCCTGCAGACTCGGTCTCCTTGCTCTTGAAAACAAGGGGACGTACTGTTCCTCGATCTACAGGACGATTCATAACATATTTATTTTGCCGTATTTTGCAGTATTTTGCAGTATTTTACCAATGTCGTTATGCTACGCTATTACCAAAATGATATCCTTATTATCAGATAAGGATTACGTAAGGGATGCTGCCTTTCTTTCTTGCGACATTTTCTCCTCGATTCTTCCTTTCACCGCGAACACAAATGATGATGCACATGCGTCGCGCGTTCTTATTTATATTATTGAAAATATGAGTGAAATAAAAGAGAACATTTATTAGAATGATTAAAAACCTGATAATAGGTTTGTAAATATCACGAATCTCGATGTGAAATATAAAAGATATTATTTATGTTATTATTTACTCCATAAATTGTCTTAATAGATGCTCAGTTCTCATCTCAGCACGCTTTACAAGTTAAATCTCATTGTAACGAAATTCATGGGACGAATTGCAAATTTGTTACGTGGTTAATGCCTTGTAAGACTCGTTTAAAATAAACGGAAGGAAAGAGAGGGAAGCCCGTACAAGTCGTCGTCGTTGTCGTCGTCGTCGTCGTTTAACCGTTGTAAGGTCAAGGCCGAGATGAGAGGTCGATGTTCAATGCACCATAGATGCACCTTAGATGCGCCATAGATGCGCCATAGATGCGCCATAGATGCGCCATAGATGCACCATCGAACCATGGAACTATCTCTAAAAATGTATGCAATGTTCTCTTCTCCCTTTTTTTCTCCGTGCAGCGTGGAAATAAATGAGCAGCGATCGCGAATAAAAAATGCTTACTTATCTTATTTACGTTAATGCAATGCGCTCGTTCGAGTTGCACTTGGAAAAACCCGTCTGAGACGTTAATATTGAACAATGAGTAATCAATTCGCTTTGATTTTTTATCTCCTGCTATTTAAATATTTTATTTAATTATATAACTTTTATTTATATTCATCCTCTAGAAATATATTTAATAAATTATTATGCGCATACATTTGATTATATACTATCAGGAATTATTCTTTTTCCATCCACTGACAATGATGAGATTCGAACGACGATGATCGTTTAAAGTCTCAAGCACGCAATTAAGGGAGAGTTCTCCTCTTGAGAACTTTCATGAGAGATGACGTCTATTCTGTGTGACGAAGAAAAATAAGATGCCGATGATAACAATGCAACTCGTTATCGAATAACGGCGAAAGATGATGCCGAAGGAAGAGCACATCGTACGTACGTAAATACTTTTGTACGTATCGTTATTTAATCTTAATGCATATTCCCGGAAGTCATTTAATTCATTTTCGAATTACCAACGTAAATTATTTATCGCTTCGATAGTACAGAATCGATCTTTTTCTTCTTTTCTCAAAAAGACAATGAACACTCCAAACTTTATGATATAAATCCGTGTCAACAAAATGTAGTCTTTTTTCAATATTCAATATATAATTATAAGAGATATAAAAACCAACTCAAATCATTATTATAAATCGATATTGTATATTCGAGTTGAAAACAATACAATAAGATTGGATTTTTAATTTTATTTTTTCTACAAGATCTTGTGTATTATATCATTACTAATAATTGACTATACACCCATAGATTTATGTACATATACATTCATACATATAGATAAACGCGTAATTGCAATTTTATTCTTTCCTTATAATATCCTTGCGGTTGATTGAAAAAAAAAAAAAACAAAAAAAAGCAAAAAAAAAAAGACAAAAAGAAAGAAAAATAATAATTTGACGCCTTAGACTCTAATAAGAGAGAAATGATGAATATTATGATCAGTAAGAAATCATTTTTGCGGGCTTTGTAGGAAGGACTATTTAGATCATATTTTTAGATCGTATTTTTAGATCATGACATTTGGTGGAAAATCCAAACCGTAAAATGCGAAAATGCGAATGGTCGAATGGTCGAATGGAAAAATAACAAAGTAGGATGGAGTGGTGGTGGACTATCTTCTCATAACAACTCACGTATTCAATTATATAATACCTCGTGTAGATCTTTGTCGTGCAAGGATCGATGCCTATAAAAGCGGCAACATCAAAAGATATCGTTGCAGTGCATCTTCGGATTTCTGATAATCCTAAGATGGCTACTCTTATTATTTCTAACCTTCTTACCTTTCTCTTGTTGGCTGCTGCAATAGTTTCTGGATTACCTGCATCCGATGAATCAAGTGAGTTTATTCTACAGATCTTAATTATTTCTAATTAATGAATTTAATTATATTATGTATATAATGAATTGATTTTTCTACAGAAATCTCTACCGATACCAATGAGGAAAACTCAACTTTGATATTGGACCTTGTGCCTCCTATAGAAGGAGAAGATGATAACGGAAAAAATGTCACCTTGTTTATTATAAATCTTTACGCAGTTAGAAATCATTCTGGCGAAAGTTCGGAAGAAATGCTCGATAATAATCTCGTACGAAAAATGCCCGATATCATAGGTAAATTATTTTCAATGATAGTTTCGTAAACATTGATAGTATAGAATAGCGATTGATACACAAAGATCATTTATATTCCAGGTCCTTTGGCAACGTTATTCCTATTGGTAGAGGAAGGAGAAGACGAGGAACCTGTCGATCTCGACAAAATGGCAAAGTACATGGAGGAACGTGGATTGAAAATCGATAAAATCGAGGAGAGTGGTGAAACGAGTGTACTGAAGACAGAAGTACCTGACAAAGATGTAGACGACATCAAGGAGATGTTGGAATCTACGGCGTCGGAAAAACTATCCAAATCGAAGAAATATAGAGCGAGAAGAATGGCTTGCCATAAGTGCCATGGTGGTGGAGGTAGAGGTGGTGGAGGTGGAAAAGGCGGTGGAGGAGGAGGAGGTAGTTATCAGTATTACGATCCATACGGAGGTAACTTTACTCATAACAATTGTCTATTATAGCGCACTATAGTTATGAGTAAGTAGAAATTAGTCGCACGGCAAAACACGAAGCTTTATTAGATGTTTGTTAGATGTTTGTAGAGTATATGTTATAATGACATCTAAAAATATTGCTGCTAATTCAAATATCTAAAAATATGAACATTTCATTTGTTATCGTTCTATTCTTAGGACAAATTGGCGTTATACCAGTATACGTGGTACCCGTTGCAATTCAACAACAACCGCAGTACCATCCTCCGCCTCAACAATACCATCCTCCGCCTCAACAGTATCATCCTCAACCGGTGTGCGATCCGTGCCAAGGGTACGTATGTCACGTTTTCTTTATTATTTTCTCTAGTTTTAATTATAATACCAAACCATTTATTGTATTTTAGACGCGGTGGTGGTGGCGGTGGAAGAGGTGGAGGTGGAGGTGGCATTGCATACGCACAAGCCAGTGCTCAAGCAAGCGCCGGTGGAGGTGGATGGTGAAGAACTTTTACAATAATCCCCTCGCTAGGAGTATCTTCAAGGAACTTTTATACTTTATTTCGTTAATATTATTAACGAAGGATAGAACAACAAAAAATCAAATTATAAATTAGCTTTGAAAACTGCCTAACATTAATCACAATTTGTTAAATAGGTTATTTCATGGGTAGGGAAAAGAAAAAAAAAAAAAACAAAACCTGTTTATTATCCTCTCTATACTTATTACTAATTGTAAGAATAAGTAAAGTTGTCAGTCAAATGTTGTTGACTAGATTAGTCGGATGGTCTACGAGAAATATTTCTAATATCGATAAGAAAGTGATATTGTAGGATACTGTCGTATATTCAAAAATGTATATTCATTTTAATTCGTTTAATTATGAATGTAATTACCTTTGACTTATTTACCTAGTAATTTAAGAGAATTTAGTGCATCGAATATACCTTTATTTTACTAAATGATCTTCGCTAAAGAAAACGCATAAACAGGTTTAACGTTATATCGATAATGTTCCTAGAAATATTCCGCATATATCTGGGATTTCCTACAATAATGAACAGTAACTTAATTGACTTTACTCGCAAAGTGGAATGAAGTTACATCGTTTTAATAAATGCCACGCTGTAATTTGTATACCTCATTAAATGTTAATACCTAACCGCAAGTTGGAGTTGCAAGCTGGAGCGTATATAATCGTGAGCTGAGAGAATTTCTAAAAATTACAAAAAGTTCCATGGGCGTTATCGCGACGACTTAAAGATTTTTCAAATGACTTCATCCAAAATATGAAAATCTTGAATTGTACGTTTGAAGCGTTAGTAAAGCCATTAACCGGAGCTACCTGGGTATCCTGGGTATCCTAGGTTGTCTGCTTTTTTACGTTCTAGGGCTGTCCTAGATCGACTTTAAAAGCGGTGTCCAGTATCGAGACTATAAATAAGAGTAGGGTGAACGAGTAGGCAGATTCCAATGAGCGACTCGAGTCGTGGCTGCTGCTGTGTAAACTGCTAGTGTTAAGAAAGACGGATCCGTAATTATGGTACGACTTGGGTGAACGTAACGGTAAACTTTGAATTTTTGTTCTCTCCATTTTTCCGGATACGGAGTAGGAGTAGGAATAGGAGAAGGAGAAGGAGAAGGAGCAGTAAAAATAAAAAAGAAAATATACAATAAGAATATGATGAGGATAGAAATAAGAAAAAAACAAAAAAAATTGTCGACGAAACGAAGCCAATTCGAAGCGGCAAGAACCCACTTTGGGTTTTTGCTATTTTAAACGTTCTCTACCTGCTTCGAGACTCGATGATAATTGGCGACTTGAAATTATATCCTCGTCTTCGATTATATAGTTGAGTTTTTTCAGGGATTTGCTGAAGATGAGAGAAAGGAGATGAGTTTTTACCTTCATCGCTCTCGAAACCTTCGATTTTCATGCTATTTAAATTCCTTTGAAAGTTTACCTCCTGCAAGTATAGATGGTATCATTATAAACATTTGATTGTGTTATTAATCATTAAATATCACTAGATGACACATTTTTATTTCGAAACTAGACTTGTCTATAATATAAATAAATATATGATATAAATTATCTAATATGAAATAGGTAGGGATAAATCGAAATTCAATTAACCTTGAATTTATTTGAGAAAGATGAGAAAAAGAAAAGAAGTTGGTTAAACGTTTGTGGGTTTGCAGGTCGACGAATACCCGTTGGCGTCCATCATCGATGTCTCGATGTCTCGATCTCTCGGATTCTTCGAAGACGCTTTTATAGCAGCAGCTACATGAGGAGCACGGACTTTCCGGTCGTTGACCGTCAACGTCCGATGAACGGCAAACGGCAAACGGCAAACGGCAAACGGCAAACGGCGAACAGCCAACGGCTGTAGTGGATTCTCTTCGAAGAGCAAACTGTCGCGGAAAAACTGGGAGAACGAGGAGGAGCCGACTTTGGTAAAAAAAAAAAAAAAAACTTACTCTCTCGGATCGACATGAGGTAATCAAACGAGCTCTATCCGTGAATCTTGGAATTTCTCAGCTTTCGATCTTATATTGATACTTTTTCATGGAAAGTTATTTACATCGATCGAAGAGTATCTCTTACACCTAATATATATTTTATACTATAGTAGGATAAACACATTAGCCTATCTATTATCGACATAGTTAGGACTAGTTCGGAATTCGATCGTCGACGCACCGTTAGTATTAATAGTTCTGACACTGCATCTAAGGCAGAAAATAAAATAAAGAAAGGAGCGAGAATTAGATTGTACAGAAAATAGCTGCTCGCTAAAATATGTTCACACATGAAAGATATTCTTATATTTTTACAATTCGATATTATTTGAATTGAAGATAATTGTGTGATTAGAGGCAATAATTTCATTTCTTTGAAGTTTTTAGCATCCATGCGTGCTCGTAAAGCTTGTAAAGCGAAGAACCGGTTGGTTGGCGAAACAACTTCAACTTTGTTGGTTTATAAAAAAAAAGCGCGTTCTGGGTCTGTTGCACGAATGCTTTGGAATCGAAATTTTCCTTTCTCGCGTGCAGAGCTTTTCTCTTGGGAGAATCGAGCGAACGACGACCTTACTGAGCAATTTGACGCGGCCTAGAATCGCAATAGGACCATCCTGCCTACCAATTGCGAACGATCTAGTTGTGCCACGTCTCACGTTCATTCTATGCATCGAACAGCATGCAGAATCAACAACCATATTCATTAAAAATTTGTAGTCATGACTGTTCGATCAATACAAATGGCTACGTTTACCAACGAAATGGCTACATTTCAACAGATTACAATAGAGAAAAAGGAATGAACTGCAGGAAAAAAGAATGAAAGATGTGGGGTGTTATCTTGCAGCGAAGAAAATACTCGGTTAATTGTAAGTGTAATGGAAAGTGAGTTATAACGGTAAATAAAAGGGAAGAAATGCGTGCATCGATTTTTCACGGAAGCTTAGATCAAAGATATACTTCAATGCAGAAACGACCCACTAAACCAGAACACGGTAACTGTGTTAACGACAGAAATTACATATGCTCGTGTGTTCTCCAAATGCTCTTATGCGGTTAAATCGAGCGGAAAAGGGGCGTGCGTAGTCGTCTATGATCGAAGAAAATAAAGCTACATAGCAAAAGAAAAAGATTAAGCATTTCTTTTTTTTATAGCAAAAGTTCCTACGTGTATTGTGTTACAAATTGGTGTGCATAAACGTACCTATATTTATATCCAGCAACAAAAAGATACAAGGAAAGTGATGTAATTTGAAATCTTGCACGATGACGATGTTGCGTGACGCGCGCAAAATCCTGCGAGTTCAAACCACTAGTCGTTAACACCTGTCTCCATGTAAGAGAGATTGATAGATATTGAAAGAGAGAGAGAGAGAGAGAGAGAGAGAGAAACTCGAGTATTTCTAGGTCGTACGCCGCTCCTGACCTTTCACCCAGGATACATACACCCAGCAAACACCTGAGCAAACACGTTCGAGATGATAAAATGCCACTGAAATCATTCTTCTCTCTTATTAGTATACTTATTAGTATGCTATCTTTTTAAGAATCATTAAGATTTATTAAATAATAGGCTAACTCTATATATAGATATAAATTATGTTACGAACATAGTTTAAAAGCTAAAACTAAGGATATTTGATCTTTTCGCGAGAAAAATTTCAACCTTGGTTTCCCTCCTCCCCTTCTTCCTGATCATTCGAGCGAATCCGATATACCTAGGTAGTAAAAATGTGAAAGATCGAAGGTCGCCAAATTGATCGACGGACAATAAGAAATCGATAAATCGTGGAGCCGAGCTGGTGTTGCTGCTGGTTGCTGAACGTTTACTCCGGGATTCTCGAAAGGATAAGGCACGTAAGTAAGTACTTACGTGTTTCTTCTCTTCTTCTCTTCTTTTTTTCTTTTTTTCTTTTTTTCTTTTTTTTCTCCTTTTCGCCAGAAATTCTTTCTAGCGGAAATCTTCGTCTCACGACGAAGAATTCAAGCAACTGAATAGTAATCTTGACATTGAAAGACGATAGAACCATTCTAAAAAGCTATTCATTCTTTTGTTTTTTTTTTCTTTTTTTTGACTTAGAACACAATTACTCTAAATATACTTGGCTAAAATGTCAAATTTCTGTTAGACCTTATAAAACGGATAAAACATGATATTTCTTTTAATACGTCGAAACATAAAGGAGGCATTGTGTACTCTTTTGGAAAGCCCCTCTTTTATTCCCGCACGAAGATCATTGAAATTACCGTTAACTCTATCATTTCTTTTTTTCTTTCTTTTTCAACCGATTAAATCCCGATTGAATCCTGATTGAATCGAATAAAATACTAACTACGAGAGAAATTTATAGTCATGCGATCCTTCGCGCGAAACCTTCGGTATTTTTTATAATGTAGATACACAGTGAAATACGTAAAATGAATAAAATGAATAAAATGAATAGACGAGAATACAGATTTATCGTCATTAACGTAGTTCGAGCGAGTAAAACTGTGAATATATGCATCAGGGATTATAATGAAGCTCTTTGCTTGTATCCTTTGATCTTTGCAAGCACGACCAATGAATCAGCCCCTGTCGTCCATTCGTTCAAATCTCAGGCTTTATTAGTCATAATTTTTATTTATCGTTTGCCAAGCTTAAGGTTTACGCGATAACGTAATTCAAAATGCGACGTAAATAAACATTTTCTATTACTCAACATGTTTGATTATGTATTACTGATATTTGATTTAAAAAAAAAAAAAAAAGAAAAAAACCAAAAGAAATAATTAGGCAAATCTACTTTGATACCTGTATGGAAATGAATTTTCTACCAAAGAAAATTGAATCGATGATGTTACCATTGAACAACAAATAAAAGTACCATGTCCACCAATATCCTTTCTTTTTTAGGGCAATTTTGAGACGATATTAAAAGTGTGCTTACAATTTACTGTACGATTGAGTTCGTTGCCGAAGAGAACAACTCCGTGACTTTTTGCTCTAATATTAACGGAACGGAGTTAAAGTCAAGGGGGGCCTTTTCAACCGAAGAGGGAGAGAAATAGAGAGAAAGAGAGAAACGATCGGAGGGGTAGGGGGTCCGTAGATATAAAGGAGAGAGCCCCGTACTCTGGGGGCCCAGTACCGTTCAAAGATGCAGACTACCGGGATGCTGCGAGGTACCAGGGCCATCTACTTTCTCGTACTACTCGCGCCTCTCGTTGATAATGCTCGTGAGTAAAAGGATAAGATCCCTTGTGAAAATCAGTGACGTGAAGTGAGAACCGTGATTAATATTTTTCTGTGCATAAATGAAGTGCATACATTTATCTTTAATATCGTATGTGTCGAATCAAATAATTAGAATTTCCAAAGATTTTCAGTTTGCAATTTCGTCTTTAATTGCGTAGATTTTCTTGGTCAACATTTTGACATCTACTCTTGCATAATCGTTTAGTAAAAAAACAAAACAAAACAAAAGAAAACAAAACAAAACAAAACAATAAATACGATAACTTTTCTTATATGTTATGATGATGTTAATTTAACAATTAGTTTACTTTTCCAATTAGTTACTTGATTAATGTGCACGATTGTATAATTAATCTACTATTACTCCTATTGGCTCCTTCAACAAAATCAATGATTCGAGATTTATATAGGATTACATTTCTATAAGAGATGATAATTGTTGTCAATCATACGTTCTCTATCTTCATAGATTCGTATCCCTATCAAATATTGCCCAGCATCCCCGGCTACATTCCTGTATACATAAGAAATGGAGATCAACCGTTGGAGGAAATAAATCCTGGCTTGGCCGAAGCATTCCACGAACACTCGGGCTTATCCAAGGTATCGATTTTGCTGTGATCCTCTGGAACAACAACTAGAAGGCGATAAATAACTATAATCGTTTAACAAGAAAGTTCGATGCAAAGTAGGCCTGAATCTAATTATTTTCTTAACGATCCAACTCGTACTTAGCGATATATATATATACATTTGTAAATAACCAACTTTAATAATCGATAGCATTTGAAGTATCAGTTTAATGGTGACACTAACGTTCTAACGAAATATTTCTAACATTGAAATGAAGTTCAAGAGATATCATTTATTCTGACGCAGAGCATTCGATTGGATCACAACTTCAGTCAGCTCGAGTCTTCTATCGAGGAAAGCAGAGCCAACTCAGTCGTGGATAAATCGAGAAAAAAATATTACCCTGCATATGCTAGGGAATCCGGAAATTCAATAGCCGGTAATGAGAGGCGCGAGGAAGAAGATACGCACGCTGAAAAGAATCCTGACTTTCAAGTACCAAAACTCGTTTCCCTTTACGAATTGCACGAAAAATTGAAGAAGGCGCAAAAAGAGGATCAACTGAAGGATGCTTCTTCCGATTTCAGGGTGTCTCTGGACAAAGTAATTTTCACAATTTATTTCCATGAAATAATTTGTTCAAACGGCTCTAATATTTCAAATGTTTTTGCATAAGAATTCGCTGCTTATTCGCTTCGTGAGTCATGTCTTGCTTGATTTGAGTCGTCATTTGAAAATAAATATTATTTTACACGATGTTCTCATATACGCAAATGACGAATAAATACTATGACGCTTCTCCACGAAATGACCATTAATTATTTGTATGCGCGTTGAATCTTCGATTAATTATGCTACGCGTATATCGTATTTATATGCATAAATAATATCTGTAGATCTTTATCCATCTGTAAGGATTGCTGCTGATTGAGCGGATAAAAGGAACATATTCAATGTCACTATTTATATCTCTATATTATATCTGGAGAATTTCTCTTATTCGCATCATGTTACAAGAAAATGAAACATCTAGTTAGGATTTGATTCAGCAATTCAACCAATTCTTCAACCGATTACATCGTCAATCATTCTGATTAATACAAATGCAAATTGACATATATTTTTCGTTTGTTTTTCAATAAAATATGCTATGCTGTGGTTTTTATTTTATAGGTAAGTTCGATCTTATCGACAGAAAAGAGGGATAATTCAGAGAGACTGTCGACAGCGATTGAAAAAGAGGAAAGCAAACCGAATGATTTATACGATCCTAATCCAAATTATCCTGAGCTACCTGCTGAGATCGGACACAATCGTGATACTCCGCAGGACTTCGTGTCTGTGATAGGATTAGAATCACTGACCGAGCAACCGAACGTCGTTCGCCAATACAAGGATCTCTCGCATCTTACGGAGGAGAAAAACGCGGTCGACGATAAAAACACGAAGGAGGAGAAGGAACCGGTTAAGGAGCAACGTCCTTCGGATATTTTGTCGAACGTGCAGAAACTTTTGCCAATCGCTCCACCGGAAGCTTACGCTACGCCGGAAAAATCCGACGAGAAGGTTGGTGAAAAGGAAAGCGGCAAAAAAACGGAAAAAACGGAAAAAACGGAAAAAACGGAAAAAACGGAAAAAACGGATAGCAAAACAGAAACATCAAGCACGCAAGAGCCGACTCCTCTCTTTTATAAAGATTTATCTCATCTTTCTAATGATCAGAAGGTGATCGAATCTTTCAATGAGAAGGATGATGACAAATCAGAAAAGAAAGAAGAAACTTTTTCAGATGCCGCCGTTAAGGATACAGGTATTTATTTCTAAATATATTATCATTTATATAGAAAAAAGTATACAATTGTATATTCCCTCTTACAGTAGTTAAAGAAACAGCGAAAGAAGAGAATCCTACGAACGTTTTCAAACTTTCTCCAATTGCTTCGCCAGAAGAATACGAAACGAAAGAGAAAACAACGAAGAACAAAGTTGAAGAGGAGAAGCCTATCAATACGTCGTTGGTTCATCTACCGATTCACCAACCAATTGTCCCTCTTTATAAAGATCTCTCTCATCTCCCGAACAACGAAGAGGAAGAAACGGCTACCGAAAAAGAAAATGAAACGCCGATAAAGGTGGAATCTCCTTACAATGTTTCAACAAACGTTTTCAAACTTTCACCGATTGCACCACCAGAAGCATATTCGAAAAAGGACGATCAAGATACTGTCCCTAGTGATGATAAAAAAGCAGAGTCTTAGCGAACATAACAATGATGTATCAACGTAATCTCGAACAAAAGAGATGATCATTTTATCGTCAACTTTAATCTCATTGATTGAGAACTCCTTCGTCGATCGATCGATCGATCGATCGATCGATCCAGGATCCTCTCGTTTTTCCATTTTTTTCTTGTTCAACATGAGAGGAGAATCCTTTATAATATAGGCACGTATAATATTTCGCTCAATTAACGTTGTTCCAAAAAACTTTGTTCCAATTTACAGAAGCTCTCGAAGAAATATTGTAAATTTGTTGAAACAATAATCTTCGATTTCTCTTCGTTGTCAGGGTAACGACGTTGGTTTGAGCGAAGGATCTTTGAAATAGGATTTTGAAACTTCATTTATAATAAATCTTTGAAAGATTTCAGCGTTTTTTTCTTAAATCGCCCGAGACATGCTTCAATAGATACTGTTTTATTGAAAAAGATAGATACACGAGATAGCAACACATACTTTCATTTGAAATTTTATTAATACAATTAGCCAATACTTGATATAATGTATCTGATTATTTAGAAACATTATTAGACATTAACTTTTATCTTATAATTTATTTCGTATCCTATAATTATTTTCACCACTTTTTAAAACAAGCGTTACAGGAAGTTTCTTAATGCCAACAGTTCTGACTGCATTTGAACCAGCAACGATCCAATTTGGTGCTATTTCCTCATCCACGTATATATTAAAGTAGGATCTACGATCCTTGAAAAATCTGTCACTGGTAAGAACGAAGATTTTGTCGTAAAGTTGACAAATATAAGCCGGTAATTTTTGGCCATCTTCGGGCATGTAGAAATCATCAAGAACGTGACAATGATAATTTCCTTTAGGCAGCCTGGGTAATATAAGTTCAGGGTTTTTCTTCTTTACTTCTAAATTCAATCGATACTTTGGATCCGTTGCATTGTCGATACGAATTTTAGCTATTCTAGATAAAGCTGATAGGAGACAACGATTTTGATCCTTTACGCCGGAACACAAATCAATTTTCGTGTCCGAACTTAAATTCTTCGATGATTGATAATGACTCGGTGGATCGTTAATAATCGAAGAACGTGAGATCATTTCCAGCGATTTAGTTGTATTTTTCTTTTCTGTCGTCGGCACGTTTATTCTTGATTCTTTTACTTCGATCGACTTGGCACCGATATTAAAGACAAGACACGTCAACACAATCAATAAAATAACGTGATGCATAGTGTTATTGTACGATTATATTTATTACGATTGAATGTTACTCGTAATAATTTTCATAAATTCAATTATATTTGGAATGTCTTGTTAAAAGACAATATCGAGAGCGTCGTCGTAATGTCTTGCTGGAAGAAAATTAGCTGAAACTGAAAGAAAAAAGAAATAAATAAATAAATATGAAAGTAATATCTACGAGTTCAAGCAAAGTGTGAACATTTGTCTTATTGATTTTCTCTATTTTCTCGACTTTCAATTGATACAATTTTCATTACAGATTCCACATTTATATGGAGTATGCGCAAGCGCATGCGCATAGTGATGTCAACAATTTAATGCACGCGTGGCTTGCGTCTCGTTCTTCCAAAAGATGTAGATACATCCATCTTACAAGAAAATTTTTGCATTCTTTTAACTGCTGATATTTTGTTATCAACTGTAATCTAAAACTATTTAGTTCTATCGTAATCAAAAATAATTCCTTTCTAAAATAAATATTGATAAATTTCAATCAATCGGTGTGCAAGTCTAGCCTAACCTAACATAACCTAAAATAGGTTATACTACAATTTATTATTATCCATTTCGACAAGACTATTAATAAATCAAATAAATCAAAGATTCTTATTAAAAGAAGAAAAATGGCTGGACAACAGCATTCCTTCCCACCTGGTTTTCCCAATGTGCAACAATCTGCGATGAGAACACAATTTGGAGGCGGACAAATGGTTACCGGTTTAATGGGACCCCAACAAGGTGGTAAGCATTTACAATAAAGTTGTTAATTAATAAGAAGTTGAAATATAGAAAGAATTATACAATAGAATAAGATATATTGATGTAATTGTGCTAGGTATAGTAAGTCCTCAGCAATTTGGAGTAGGTGTTGGTGTTGGTGTTGGAGTTGGAGTTGGAGTTGGAGGAGTAGGTTCTAACGCTATGGGAATGCCAAATGCTCAACAAGTTTTAGCCCAACAACATCAACAACAATCAGTTTCCATGCAACAACAAATGCAACAGATGCAACAACAACAAATGCAATTGCAGCAACAACAACAAGCAGCTCTCGTGCAACAAACTAATCAGACTAATAACCAAGTTACTACACCACAAACACCTGTTGCACCAACGCAACCTCCTTCTCAACAGCAACAAAATAAAGACCTTAATACTGTCAGCTTGTGTAGATTTGGACAAGAGATTGTACAAGATATTGTAAGTCGTACTTTAGATGTCTTCCAAACACTGAAAGTAATTCAACCACCAAATGGTAAGTTTTCATTGAAATCAATTGATTCGATAATTACCAAATTGATACTATAAGATTCTATTAAATTACAGGTACGCCACAAGGAGCTAGTATTGCAAACAGTAAGAAAACTAAGGTACAAGAACAGTTAATGACGTTAAAGATGTTATTTAACCGTTTRAGGCGGATTTATGAAAAATGCAATGAAAATTGTCAACTTCAAGGCATGGAATATACACACATTGAAAGTTTAATACCATTGAAAGAAGAATGGGATATGAAATCAGAGGAAAAAAAGACTTCGGAAGCTTATAGATTAGCGTATAAAGAAAGTGAAGAAATAATGGAGGTTTGTAGAAATTCAGAAAAGATTTGAAGATTTGACACGTTTCTTATTTGATTGTAATGAATTATTTTATTTTTCTAGGAAGTAATATCCAAAAATAAGCACCTAAAAGAAATCATTGACAAATTAAGACGTATCATTTTCGAAATAAATATTATGTTAAACATGCGCCGATCTTAGATTACGAAAATAACTGAAATATTTAAGTATATTAATAATATTTAGGTACATATTTATTATTATTTAGGATTGACTGATTCTATAAGATAAAGTAATATCTTAATTAATATAAGAATGTGAAGAGAAATGTATGACTTATCTACCTCTTAGAATAATCTTACTATAAAAAAAAAAAAAAAAAAAAAAAAAAAAAAAAAGAAAAAAAAAACATTAATCTTTCTAAGAAAAAGCCATAATGTATAAAAATACATTAATTTTTGCTAAGAAATTTTATCTATCCCAACGATCGAGTTGACGTTTATAAAGAGTATAAGCATGCGCATCGCGGTGTCAACAATTTAAAGGATACAATGCAAGTTGTACATTTAACGGGAATAACGTACATGAAACGATCTTCAAATGAATTTACTTGTGTTCTTTTAACTGTTGATATTATTTTATCAACAACAATCTAATAACATTTAACTCTATTGTAATCAAAAATACTTCTTTACTTGAATAAATGTTAATACGTTTCAATTAACCCATTTATATTATGACTTCACTGAAAATATCGTATTCAAACGTTAACGTAGTTTACATGCCAATTGGCTTGTGTGCCATTCTGCGCGGCCATATTTTATCAGTATGTGCGAAATATTTCGCGATTGCTGAACAAAATAAGTTGTAGTTTACGAAATAGTTTGTGCACAAAGATAAAAGTTAATCGTCATGCGGGGAATATTTCGCTTACAGATCCATGCAAATGCGTTAATGAATATGTGAAGTCTAAGTCTAACATAAAGTAACCTAAAATAGGTTATACTACTATTTGTTATTGTCGATTAATAAATAGTATATTCTTATAAAATAAAGAAAAATGGCTGGACAACAGCATCCCTTCCCATCTGGGTTTCCAAATGTGCAACAATCTGCGATGAGAACACAATTTGGAGGTGGACAAATGGTTACCGGTTTAATGGGACCCCAACAAGGTGGTAAGCATTTACAATAAAATTGTTAATTAATAAGAAGTTGAAATATAGAAAGAGTTATAGAATAAAATAAGATATATTGATATAATTGTGCTAGGTATAGTAAGTCCACAGCAATTTGGAGTAGGTGTCGGTGTTGGTGTTGGAGTTGGAGTTGGAGTTGGAGGAGTAGGTTCTAACGCTATGGGAATGCCAAATGCTCAACAAGTTTTAGCCCAACAACAACAGCAACAACAATCAGTTGCCATGCAACAACAAATGCAACAGATGCAACAACAACAAATGCAATTGCAGCAGCAACAACAAGCAGCTCTCGTACAACAAACTAATCAGACTAGCAATCAAGCTACTACACCTCAAACACCTGTTGCACCAACGCAACCTCCACCTCCTCAACAGCAACAAAATAAAGATTTTAACACTGCTAGCTTATGTAGATTTGGACAAGAGACTGTGCAAGATATTGTAAGTCGTACTTTAGATGTCTTTCAAACGCTTAAAGTACTTCAACCACCAAATGGTAAGTTTTCATTTAATTAGGTAAATAACAAATCAATAATTAGGTATGAATGATCAGGATAGAAAATTTCATTTGATTACAGGTACACCACAAGGAGCTAGCGTTGCTAACGATAAGAAAACTAAAGTGCAAGAACAGTTAAAAATGTTAAAATTGTTGTTTAAACGTTTGAGACTGATTTATGAAAAATGCAATGAAAATTGTCAACTTCAAGGCATGGAATATACACACATTGAAAGTTTAATACCATTGAAAGAAGAATGGGATATGAAATCAGAGGAAAAAAAGACATCGGAAGCTTATAGATTAGCATACGAAGAAAGCAAAGAAATAACAGAGGTTAGTAAAATGTCAGAAAAACTTGAACTCGTATCGTATTTAATTCTAATCAATTGTCTTATGTTTTCAGCAAGTGATATTGAAAAATAGGCACCTTAAAGAGATAATTGATCATTTAAGACGTATCATTTCAGAAATAAATACTATGTTAAATATGCGTCGTTCTTAGATTATGAGATATATATATATATATATGTATACTTGTTTAATTTGATTGTTTTTTAATTAATAGATTTATACTATATGATATAGTTATATTATAATTAATGTGAAAATGTCAAGAGAAATGTGTGATTTACCTACCTTTTAGAATAATCTTAATATTAATTATTTATAATATTTTCAACTTCCATGGAGATAATATCGTTTGTTCTGAGAATAGCTTCTGGAATTATTCCAAGTGGAGTCTCCAAGTTTCTCACAAATAATTCCAGGCAGTCGATGTCAGAGCCACGAAATTCACCAGTAACGCGTGAATTTTCATACAAATTAAATTTGGCCTTTTTTCCTAAAAAATCAAGTAAATAAGACAATAATTCACTAATATAACTTTAAGAAAGAAAGCATTGAAACAACCACGTTGTTACTACTACTTTATATGTCCAATCATCATCGGATATTATATTTCAATTGCAAATAGATCAAATCATTGAAATTTGGCCTAAAAAATATTTGAATTCTTTTTCATAGCGTATTATTCAAGTTAAACAACAAAAATGGAGTCATACTTTATTGGCGCCATATTCAAGTGTTACTTTGAATATACAAAAATAGGAAACAATAATAACTATTTACTCAATGTCTCTTTAATTGAAGTTAAATACTTATTCGAAGAATACAATTGATTTTAACATTAATACATTTAATTATTAAAATTAGGTTAAATATGCGAATCGATAAAAAATCAAGAGATATTAACATACCGACAATACCAGTTATCATACGTAGAAAACGTTCTCGTAAAAAAGCACGTGCTTCTTGATTCTCCGCCGACGAAAAGTCGAATTTTACATTTTCTTCGTTACTTTCAGTATTCTGTTCTTCTTTTTCAATCATCTTTTGCGAAGAAGTATTTTTGCGACGATTCAGCATCGGTCTTTACTTATGGCGGAGAAAAACAAAGAATAGTTTGGCTATAGTATTACTGCGCATGCTTCCTCTTCCTGTGTGCGCCAAATTTAAATGTACAATATGATAGGGACATATACGCGACGTTCAGATTTGTTATTAATAATTTTTATTTAACATTCGTTTTATGTTGTTTATTTCTACGAGCATATTTATTTTCTATTTTTATGTATAATAATAATTCATATGATTGAATGTGTATGCGTTGAGAGAGATATGGCGGGAGAGATTAGTCGGTCAGCGAATTCAAAGAAATGTTGTTTCTTTTGTATCAAGTACACATAGAAAAACATTTTCAAACAAATATGTATAAGTTGATTAAGAGGGAAGAATTAATTTCCAAATGGATCTTCGACGCAGCAACTTCCTCGCGGTGAAATTCAGTAACTGATAGATATTACTAACGGTGTCCACAGAATTTCTATGGTGCAACATTGAAGTACTATTTAATTGTGACATGAATTGTTTCTAATTAATTGTTCGAATGATTAATTTTAAAGCAATTTTCTGCATCTAATCGCATATACACGTTCTACATCGATAAACTTCATAAATGCATTAATGTATTTCGTTCGTTATTTAAGAAATCAATTTGTTATCTATACCGAAATATATATATATATATATATATATATATATATATATACTTTTCAGGAAAGTGTCAATCTATAACCCACATTTTCCAATAGAGACAGAGTTTACAGTCAGATAATGACCATATTTATCCGGATATCTAACAAACGTACTTTCTCGAGCATGAGGGTAACCCGCAGATTTTGAAGTTGGTCAAGTGAATTGCTCGAGTTTCTCTTCACTTTGGAATCGATCACGGCAGAGCGAGGATGACCTCCCTAATCGCCCTATTTTCAATCTTCATTCTTTGCGCTAGCGGTAAGAAATTGATAAATATTTTTGATTAATTTTAATACAATTTCATAAAGTTTCAATAAAATCTTATATTATTTTGTTGATGAATTTATAAAAGTGAAGTGTGATATTATCACGACGACAATTAAACCCCAGAGTGCAATGATTTTGAAGGAAAATAACAGTCGTTCCTTGGAGAAAGAAACACCGTGGTCAAAGTATACGGAAAAGCTGGAAGACAATAAAATAAATAAGAATACAATGGAAACGTTCAACAAACGAAAATCCAAATTCTTAGGAAGTCTAGCTTTTCTAGCTGGACTTGGTTTTGGTGGACTCGCCAGTCAAGCTGCATCGTCAACTGTGAAAGCTTATGCAAAGTTTCCTCAAGCATCAATAGCCATGAACTTTGTTCCTTCGAAACAAGGACCTTATTTAGCTGCTTATTACGAGCCTTATCCTTTTGTCCATAATCCTTATTTTTATCATTCTCCTTTGGGATTCTATCCTTTAGTCGATCCTTCCAAATTACAATCCCTCATTGGTGGATCATCTCAACAAAATGGAATCAATCGTCCGACTCAAATTATTACTTTATTCGACGATAAGCGGCCTTCCGATTCTGATTCCGATGATAGCGAGGAAGAATACATAGTTGAAAAAACAAAAACAGATAAATCGACAATCGACAGTGTTTATAATAAACAACAGACAGAAGGAGAGGTAAGAATTTAACAAATAATGTATTAAATGAATACCAGAACAGAGAATCGCGTGACATACATTCCAATATCGTTATGATTTTTCTTATTCTGTCAAATAATAAATTCTCTATTGAAATGTTTTCAGACGACGAACGGAGTCGTTGCATGTGGAACACGAAATAAACTCAAGGAAGAAGCAACTGATGTATCCAATAGAGATTCTATAGCGTACGATTTGGAAGAGTTACAAGAAGATGCCGATGACTCGAAAACAATTATGAATAGAGTCAAAAATCAAGCTCATAATTCAACGAGTTTCAGGCCTATCAATAGTTCTACTGTAAGACCTAATTCAAGACCTAATTTAAAACCTACTCAAAGGCCTATCCCAACGCCTATTCCAATGCCTACTCCAACACCTACTCCAACACCTAATCCAAGACCTACTACTACAGATACAGACACAGAAGGAAATTCAACAACCATGGAGAGTAATATTAGTTCTACGCCATTTTTTGGTTATTACGGAGGTAATCCACAAGACATAGAACACATTGATCTCATCTCTGATATGCAACCACCCATTTATCACGAACCTAATCCGATCAATTATCATTTACCTTATGAAAGACCTGCCAATTTTTATCCCGAGGAGAAATATCAATTCTATTCGAATTCTTTCCCAAATTCTTATCCCTCCGGACCTTTCATTTCTGAACATATAACAGATTATTCGAGCAATGATTTCAATCGATTTGTATATCCACCCGATAAACATTCTCCGCCGTACGCTAATCAATTTAAACCTCTAACGTACAGTTAATATTCATATTTGTAATACATATTTACGAACACGCACAATGATCACCTAATATCAGTATATCGTTAATCTTATTTAAAATAATTTCGTTATCACTTTTATATATATATATATATATATATTTTGAAAATATTGGAAAGTTTGAAACGCGTGTTGATGTCATCGACTTTTGTGCCTTCATACCAACGGAAACAATTCTCAATAAGAACTTTGTCCGTCAATAAAAATGAACAATACGTAATTGAACGTATCTACGTGAATACAGATTTATCTTAAATAACGTTAGAAAATAATTTGATTTTGCTATTATTTTTTGGTGGGTAAAAGACAGGGTGAAATCTTCATTAAGACAATCATCCAGGGGTGTTTGAAGAATTCTGTTAATACATAAAGAGTACGTATTTAAATCTTTTCATTTAAATAATTATGAAAGTAGTTTAACCAAATAATTTGATAAAATTCAATGAAATATTTCATTTATCTCACATAGATACAATATACATTTTGGTAATATGAAACTATAATAAAAAGTATATATAATTGAATAACTTATGCTACTTTGATAATTATCAGCTTATATTTAAGATGTGTGTGTGTGTGTTGTAACGTTGAAAGAAAAGCATTATGGCTATATATCGAGATGTAGTTAACTTTTCAAGAAATCAACATATTATTTATAACTTTAATCGCTATCTCATATTCATATGAAAACTTGTATACGTCATATATTTATAATTATTCACCATGATTACATTTTGATGATACTTATACCCCCGATAGAGAAAAAGATAAGAGAATCGCGTTTTTACAGCCGTTCTTAGGTGACGCTTCATGGGACTTTGTTTGCACAATTGTTTGGACATTCGTGCGTGATCGTATGGACGTAGAAAATCCTTGAAACGATAATAAGAATAATTCGTCACGAAATCGAGCAACGATTATATACATACATATAATACAATATGTTCTATTTTATATACGGTGTTAAAGAGAATCGAACGATTTAAATAGCAAAACTAATAGCAGATCAAACAAATCTTATATATATTGTTTTTTTGATAATGCAATTCACTCAATTTCACTTGTAGTCAAATCATAGACTTTTTTATCAAACTAACACGGTTGATAATCAATTGCATTATCAAAATGAAAGACGAGGAAGGAGGGTACCCACTTGGAACGGGGTTAGTTTTTGGAAAATCGTTTCGTTAATCCGTAATCGTAAGGGTTAGGAGGGGGACATATATGAGAGAAAAATAAATGAAAATAAATGAAAATAAATGAAAATAAATGAAAATAAATGAAAATAAATCACAGCTCGTCTCCGCAGCACAGTCTCCGCCGCCTTGTCTCTCGGATTGAATACACGACGCGTTCTTCCGTCAGTCCATGCCGACCAATTGGACGATTCGCGGCAGCTTCCAACGAAGAAACCTGTTTTATTTTCGGACGAATTTGGAGAGCCGGGCTTCTCGTCTATTTCGAGATACCACCGTTCTGGTATTGTATCTCCAAAGGCATCAGTAATTTGCAAATTTTCACTAACGATCTATGACTTTCTCTTTTTAATGTACTTATTTCAAAGAATGATATTTCTGCTCTACTAATATGTGTACTCCCTAGGAATAACTTGTTTTTATAGATATATATTCTATTGGTATGTAATAAAGACAAAACTGACGCGTGCTAACAGTTTAAACGTAGTGACACAGAGACACATATACATTATATACATATGGCGCGGATCGAACAACACCGGTGAACGTGGAATCGCGTGCACGATTATGCAACAACGCGTACCATAGGAAATGATCGACTTCCTTTACGGAAGTGGCAAACACTTTTTGGTGCAGCTGATATTATCAGCTGATTTCGCGCCGACGGACTTAACAAACGACGTTACTTTCTGAACGAATTTAGAGATGCGAAAAATAATGCAATTTGACGTATTTCATTGGAAAGACAAATATTCATTTTCATCTCTTAATCTTTGTCCTTTTTTCTATTTATTTCCAATAGTCACGCCATCGCGCATCGATCGACGAAAATCAGCAGTGCTTTGTCGGTTCGCTTCGAGGATGCCTAACTAAGATATATCGAATTAGATCTGGTCTCTTTAAATCTAAATATACGTCGAGTGTCAGGGTTGAACGCCCTGAGCTTTCCGGTTCTTGCCTCATATACTTTGGTTCTATCTCTCTTGTAGGTCTTTTTTTTCTTTTGGTACAAGCACTTACCCTACCTCGTTTTATTTTTCTGATGTCTCTTTTCGTCATTCCTCATTTTCTTCTGTAGCTTGTTCTCTCTCTCTCTCTCTCTCTCTCTCTCTTTCTCTCATACGCGAAACTTAATAGCCTTGTATCCTCTAGGACACTTCAGGACTATTTCCTGCGAATACACGTTGGACGAGCCGGATGGGAAACCGCAAATATAAAGCCCCTTACGGTATTCCAATAACATTATACGCATGCGTTATAGCTACATGCATATACATAGCAAAGATGTTTGGAGATCGTTTTTATTTCGACAACAGGAAACGTTCGAATTTTTATTCTGTTAGACTGAATACGTAGGAGCTCCTGTTCATGTATACATTTCCGGCCAGTTCAAATCTAAAATAACTGTTAACCGGTTAATATTCTTGATACGGTTTATCTTTGAATCTTTTCGTACAAGTATCAATTATTAGTTATAATTATGATAGATTGGCCAATCCTCCTATCCTATAATAAAATCCTATTTTATTATTAATCATTCTTGTATCTTATATAATCGAGTATAGAACATATACATTACTTATATTTATGACAATTGAAAATAATATACGGCTGTAATATGTAAAACGTTAAGATAATACGACTTTAGTAAGCAAATAGGTGTACGATTTTAGAATCACTTTTCGCAACGGATCTTCCCGCGGATCTTCTTTCCCTATCGGTCCCCTCTCTTTACCCCATTCTCGCCGTTGGCCGTTTTCTTTGTCGTTCTGCGTTTAACAACTAGCAAAGGGTGAGTTTGCTGGGTGAGGAGCCTGCCTGCCGATCGAGTATGCATCGCCAGGAGCGACATTAACATTTGAACGCTTCAATTTTACAAGACCAACCCAATTTTCTTTCAATGTTCTACGTAAGACATTTTTATTGTTGATAATTATGCATCAATAAGATAAAAATAAATAAATGATAATTTAGAGAATAACTTTTATAAGAATACTCGGTCGACTTTGTATTTTATTAAATTTATGTTAGTGGAGATTTGAAAAAAGAAAAAGAAAAAGAAAAAGAAAAAGAAAAAGAAAGAAAAGAGAACGGCCCAGTGGACAAAAGCAGAGGCATCGACGGTGGGTGCAGCAGGCGCGTGCAGTAAGCGCGTGCAATAAGCGCGTGCAATAAGCGCGTGCAATAAGCGCGTGCACTGACATAGGCAGAAACATGTGCAGGGCAAACGGAGAAACGAAACTCTCTCTGTGTGGATACGCGTAGTAGACGCAAAGCACGCTCGACTAAGAACCATAGACTTTGTGGGCCTGGGGGACGATGGAGGAGAGACAGCTGTGGGGCAGCTGGCAGCGCGTGCCACGAACCTATGGGGTCTCCTTTCTCGACGACGACGATGACGACGACGACGACGACGACGACGACGACGAAAGACCAAGACCAAGATCAAGACGATGCAACTATATCATAATACAAAACAAAAAGAAAAGAGATTTTGCAAATTTCGCTATTACAATTTTTAAAAGGTGGAAATAATAAATTAGAATTTTCCTAGATAATAAAAGAATTTGAAATCATAATACTTTTGTACTTTTGAGAGTGCGAAGAAAGCGAGACGATCTAATCTCATACGCAACAAAGTTATCGAGGAACCATCGGTAATCATCGAAGCGCAAAATATGATTAAAATAGTGTACTATCTTTTCAAATGAAGATATTCCTCGTGTTATACGAAAATGATTGAACGAGAAATCAACGTGCGGAAAGAAAAAATCGCGCTTCGATGGGTCACAGCAGAAAGCGATGCGATACTCACGGAAATTTACTGAAACTATAGGAACTTTCGCTTTTAATATCGTGACGAAATTACCGTAACGATGAATCCTCCTTCCACTTGTTTCATTGCTCAACGTATACCAACGTACATTCATTCGCTCTAGTGTTACAAATTCACTCTTTTAACGTTTTTCATTTTCTTTTTTAACGTAAAGAAAAGTCATCATCGTTCCAATTATTATCTAACTTTGTAAATTCAACTACGTAATCTATTAAATGTATTTTTTTAGTTAATCTTCTTACATAGATGTGTTATATAAAAAAGAGAGAAATGTAAAAGTATTTCAAGGACTAAATGGATCGAAAAAGCTATATTTTATAGGATACGAACAACCCTAGGGTTTGTTTACTACAAAGCAGTTAAGCACCATAAGCACTTCTTTTCTTATTAACTACGTAGCCTTCCAAGGTTTATGATCTGTTGGAATATGGAACACGGTAAAGCTCTAACCTCGTAGTTTGATTTAGTGTAGTAAAATTTCTTCGGTAATATGTTCAAACGTTATTTATTTTAAGGCTGAAACGAATTGAATAAAAAAACTGAGCTTCCTCATTGCTCTTTGTCCATTGAAATGTTTTCAATCTTAACAAACAATGTAGTCAGGTGCCCACCCCTATAACGAGAGAAAGAAAGAAAGAAAGAAAGAAAGAAAGAAAGAAAGAAAGAAAGAAAGAAAGAAATTTCGATAGTCATCGAATTATTTTGCCGATGCGTTGACAAAATACTTGTATCTAATAGGAAAAAGATTTAAAAAGATTTTCAATGATACTTTAACAGTTATGATAAATGCTCGAGTATAAAGAAATTGACGATATAACAAAAGTGGAAGGTGCTTTTGCAAAATAGAGGGAAGACAAGAAAAGAAATTTGTGAAACACATCGGAATCGGACGCAGCTGGAAAGTTTGGTGGGCTTTTCTGGAAAGGTTTTTCGTTCGTCTGAAAAAAAAGAGATCAGCGCGGGTTCAAAGCCTTCTCGAGGGAGCGTTTCAGGTTGGCGAACATCTGCCGTCCTCCACGACGATAATAATTCGAACAGCTGATACCTATGTACATCGGTACGATTCGGCTCGTCTCGGTTACTTTCGGTGGTTATGAATCTTGCGTTGGGATCGTTCACGAGTGCCCTGGGTTCGTTTTCTTTCTCTTGATCTTCCTTCCAAGGGTGGAAGAAAGGAAAGGAAAGACCTCCATCTTACTTTTTTTTCCCCTCTCTCTTGTCTCTTTCTCATCCCTTCTTTCATCACGTTTACATTTCATCTTTCCTTGTTCCATCGGTGGGACGCACGTTTTGGAAAAAGAGGGCAGGAAACGCATCTGACGTAATCATCCTGGTTAACCGGTTCAAACGATTTCTTTACATTTTAAACAAAAAAAAATACGAAACTATTGTTTTGCAATTGAAATCGATAGAAATATAGCTATAACGAACAGAGAGAATTTTTGTTGATTGAATTTTTGTCATCGAATTTTGGCTAGAAGAGAAACAGTTTTTTGTTCGTTGCTTAAAACTCTCGTAAGAGACACGAGGTTAAAAATATCCATATATTTGTAGCAGGCTCTCGATCAAGTTGAGACGTTCCTGACCGAATAATCGTGTAGTAGAGTAGGGAAGACATTTGAACCAATAAGAAGTCGGTAAATGGAAGGATCTTGGGAACTGGCGCGCCGTATGGTATTCCCAAAGTATAAAGCGGTCGCATTCGCACGTGGGCATTCGATCCTGTCGGACGTGTATGCAACTTAGAGATACATGAAGGAACAATAACGTCATCACATCACCGCCACCACCACCACCACCACCACCACCATCCTAACTATTATTGGACCCTGGTGTTGTCGCCAGCGTCATCGTCATCGTGAACTTTAAGTGATACAAAGAAACTCATCCATCCCCTTAGTTTCTTCTTACTACATCGTCATCGTCGGCAAGTGATTCTTTTTTAAATCTCCCGCGTTTCTTTTCCTTTGAAAAAAAAAAAAAATAAAAAATAAAAAAAAAACCAACCGAGCGTCGCCCCTCTTCGTGGTTTTTTTTTTTTTTTTATTAGCCAAGATAGTGTGCCATCGTTGTTCTCTCCCCACTACTTACTAGCGTATACCTCTAGCACCCCTCTAGCACCCCTCTAGCACCCCTCTATTCGATCAGAGGCAAATTTAACGCGTCAAGAAATAGTTCGTGTTCGATCAAGGAAGGACGCGGATCGTGTCGTGCAAGATTTCGGTGTTCTCACCCTTTTCGTTGGATTATTAATTAAACAGTGGGATTATTTGACGTGTACGTACAAGTGTTAAAAGAAACATCTTGAAGAAACAACAGGTTAGTTATCATCATCCTTTTTCTTTCTTTATTCTTTCTTTATTCTTTCTTCATTCTTTCTTTGTTTTTCTTTGTTTTTCTTTTTTTTCTTTAATTAATTATATTCGACATACATATGTTAGGTTTCTCGATATAGATATTTTTCGCATGTCTATTTATTTTTGTCTGTCTCTTTTTATGACGATAGCAAAGGTATATCTATCTATCATTCTACGTGTGCACTGTCTATGCGCAATGTTCTAATTTCGCGTTCCTTCTAATCTCGCGTTAAGGTTGTATGACGTTGTTAAATATATTTCAAACTGCCCATTATATACGCGCGAACAAACGGAAATACATTTTGCACGTTAGATTACCTATCGTGAAAATAAAATATATGTGAGAGAATATACGGAAGTGTATAGGTATGTTTTTCAAAAGTAATTTCGACCCAGCTTATAAGAAAGAAAGACACRACCGAAAGATTCTTCGAGTCTTGGACTTTCTTCTTGTTCGAAAGTTGTTGCACTTTCGTTCAATGGACTTTCATTTGATAAGAAGAATTAGCTTTGCGGAGAATGTAGGTTTCGACTCGTTACTCGTTTCTCTTCAAATACATTACACACGCATACATATATATATTTAAACCATATTTAATTATTACAATACAATAGATTCATACTTTTCCAACAAAATAACAATTTCAATTCGCTATCTTCACGAAAATAGGAAGTAATAAGACACCAAAATTGCCGGTTGTTAATGACTGACAAGGAGTGAATTTTCGTTTATACATGTATATAAACACACATGCAGTGTGAGCATGCTGCTGAGCGTGAGAGAGAGAGAGAGAGATAGAGAGAAAAGATATAAGTTTATGAGAAATACAAGGTGTATTTAGGTGTAGTTATATTCATTTTTCATTCGTTTCTCAACGATGTCTTGATCGCTCATTCGACCGCTTATTCGATCGCTCATTCGATCGCTCATTCGATCCTTGCTTCTTAAAACAGACGATTTTTCTTTCCTTGCAAGTTATTTGTTTCTCTCTCTTTCATACATTTATATTTTATTTTGTAATTATATAAATGTATATACACTTAAAATCTTGAATACTTACATATCTATTTGTAATCGCGTACTTTCGAAAATATGCTCGTAGTTAGCCACTCGAAAAAGACTACTTTCGCAATTTACTATGATGTCGAGAATTGTGCTCGATGCTTCCACAACCGTAGACACACGGATTTGAAGGAAAAGCCTGTGTTTACATGATGAACGACAAACAGCGAACTTTTTCGGGTTGGACCAGGCTGCCTGTGCCTGCATATGTTTGCTTGCTTGCTTGCTTGCTTGCCTGCCTGCCTGCCTGCCTGCCTGCTTGCCTGCTTGCCTTCCTCCTCGGGTAAAACGATCCGCCTGGAAATCTCCCTCGGCGCTCTACCGAATCCCACTTCTTTCTTTCTTTCTTTCTTTCTTTCTTTCTTCTTTTCTTCCTTCCTTCCTTCTGCCCTTTTTTTCCTTTTTATCTTCTTAACCTATCTTCCTTAAAATTTTTTCCTTTTCTTCGATGGCTGCTTATATTTTTTTACATCGATAAAAATTCTTACTAGATATATATTTCCAATTTATATTTGTCAATCTAAACGTGCGATAGAGAGTAATATGAGACGAATGGATAAAGCAGTACGCTTAATATCTTGATACCGTCGAAAACGTGGCTCAGTTTTTCAACGATCATTTCTTCTTAACGCTAACTAAATAGATTATTATTTAGATTTGGAAAAATGCGCCATCGTAAAAAGTAGCCATCGTGCTTAGATATTAGTAAGCATCGTTTGATCGTGCTTCAACAAGTGTTTTCACATGAGATGCAAACAATTCGATAATCGCGTTATCGACGCTTCGTCGAGTTGCCTATTTGAAACGATCTCTTTTGAAATTCTTTCAAATCTACGAGAAAAATATTCATTTATCTTTTTATTCTTTCTCTTCAAATTTACATTGCAATGATTATTACTACGAGGGTTAGAATTTTCTTTGTCGTATAATAAAGTTCTTTATTTCTTTCTCAAAGTGTGGCCTTTGTGACTTTGGCCGAGAAGATATTTTCGTGGGCAAATTCGAGCGCGTGGCAATTGGCCAGCATCGAACACGCGCTGTAAAACTCCTCGCACGTCGTCGTGACGATGTTCATGACGATGCTCATGACGATGCTCATGACGATGCTCATGACGATGATGTAGAGATATTTGTCCTATGCCATCGAAAATTCTCATTGGCCAAACGACGCGAGTTTCTCTATTGTGTCGGAGTGAATAATCGATTTGACGAAGATCGAGTTATGACTAACTCAACTCCGCTTAACGGCTGTTGTTCTTTCTTGAAGCATTACTTTCTCCGTCGAGGGTTTCAACCGTATATACCTGAAGGGAAGACTAGAAAGGATGAAACGTTTTTCAAATACCCGTTACTCTTAGTATTTAGATAGATTTTTTAGGTTCTTTAGGACCACATTCAAAAGGGCAACTAGAATTTTTTTTACAATAGCTGCTTTAGAAATAAGGAAAGGGAACCTACTTGGCATGTACATTTGAACAACCCGAGTTATAATATATATAGATTTAATAATTTATTTATTTAATATTCACATTTTGTATTTATTAAGTAATTGGCCGAGCCGATCGTTCTGGTAAGGTTTGCGACTAGGAGGATGGTCTAGGACCTTCCGAAAGAGAAAAGAAAAGGGAGGGTGGGAAAAGGTTAGTGGAGGAGTAGAAGAAGTTGAAGGAGGAAAGGAACCGAACGCACTACAACAATGTGATTATACACAGTGCTGCACCGGTTTTCTGCAGCAGCAGCAGCAGCAGCAGCAGCAGCTGCTGCTGCTGCTGGATCGTTTTTGGGGATTCGGCAGAAACGAATGAACGAACGAACGAACGAACGAACGAACGAATCTACGGATGGATGGACGGTTGGACGGGTGGACGGACGGACGGACGGACGGACGGACGTATGTCGGTTCTCGGGTAAAAGGGCCCGGTGGTGTTGTTTGTGGTGGGGATAACGAAAGCTAGGCGAGACGAGAGAAGCGTGTTTGGAAGGAACGAAGAGAGAGAGAGAGAGAGAGAGAAAGAAGTACGCGTTGGGTCCTCGCCGAGGCCCGGTGCGCACAATGAGAGAGGGACGTAGCAGCAGTTCGTCGTTTTAGCTTGCTCTCAAACGGGGAAGAAAAGAGAAAGAGAAAGAGAAAGAAAAAGAGAAAAAGAGGACCTTCCGTTTCTACAGACTCCGTCTCTAAAACCCGAAAGGCGAGAGCCCTAAGAAAAATACCCTATACACGATCTACCTGAGCAAGGTATAGGGTCTAAGCTGTGCTACCTCCCTTTTTCAGGCTCTCCCAACCTTGAATGGAGGTCAGGGTTCCCACCTCCTTGCCCTTTTCTTCTCCTTCCTCGACGAGACTCCTCTAGCTAGCTCTCTCTGTTTCTCTTTTTCTTTTTTTCCTCTTTCTCATCTTTCTCCTTCCCTCGCGGCTTCCGTGCAAAGGGGGATTTTTATCTGTTCGCTTTGTATTGTACATGTTGAAGTCATCGATTCGTTGAGAGAAATAGAGAGAGAGAGAGAAAGAAATGGCTCGTAACGAAGGGAAAACCGTTTTCAGTAACAAGATAAGTTGAATATTTGAAAAATGCTAGATTTAAAAGGACTAAATGGGAAATGAATAATAAGAAAAATGTTATTATCGAGTAGGAAGAATTTCTAGTTGGTTCGACCATAAAAAACGTCTTTTTAATATGAAATTTTGTATATATTTTCAGGAAGAGCAAGCTCGTATTAGTTTGACCTAGATGCTGTTGAACCAACGGCGGCACGCCTAACTTATTTTCATCCCAACAGTACCAAATAAATAGTCAAAATTGATCAAGTGGTTCTTTCATCCGGCGGTGATATCGCCAAATTTTGGAGGATGTTGATGTCTGGTGCCGCCGGTCTTGGTGGTGTAGGCGCTGTGGGAGCACCAGGCCCGGACGAGCTCGTTTCCGGGCTGGGTGCTCTTGCGGGTGCCACACCTCAGCAGAAAGATACCACCTGGACTAAGTTATTCGTTGGCGGTCTACCGTATCATACGACCGATAAAAGTCTTAGGGAACATTTCAGTGTTTATGGGGATATCGAAGAGGCCGTTGTCATCACCGACAGGCAGACTGGAAAAAGCAGAGGCTATGGTTTCGTGAGTAATCAATTCTGTTTTGATTAAAATTATTTGTATAAGTTTAATTTGACTAGAGGCTATTAAAAAGCATAACGTTTATTATAATAGAATGAATTACTGGTAATAAGAATATATACATACATAGAGCTTATGTTTGTTTCTTTTCGAAGGGGAAATCCGGTATCTATCAATAAACCCGTAAATCATTGCGATTAAAGCAAGCAGCAACTAGTTTTCAGGTTGTTGCCAAAAATGTAGGAGTTCTCACACGATGGTATTTACCTCTTTAATTCGTTGATAAAGTTCTTTAGCAAATGTTGCCAATGCAAGTTACTTGACTTAGAAAGCAGGTGTTTGTCTTATCGTTACACCACTTAAGATAACATGGACATTCAAGCATTGATGTTACTTGCTATATATATATATATATATATATAGGTTTTTGTTGATTAGCGGAAGTATCCGTTCGTAACTAGACGTTCGCGTTCGGAGAATCCAAATGAGATGGATCAACCGATTTTGTTCATAGGTCATCATGGGAGACAGAGCGGCAGCTGAGAGAGCCTGCAAGGACCCCAATCCTATCATCGATGGTCGTAAGGCCAACGTTAACTTAGCAATTCTCGGAGCTAAACCGAGGAATAACTTGCAAACTAGTAAGTTCACTTATAAATTTTTTGTCAAGCCCTTTTTTTCTTCTTATTTCATCTTATCGTTAGAGTAATGGTTGTACTATCATTTGATCAAATTTCCAATTGTTTTTTTCTTCTCTATAGAGAATATATAGATTGGGTATATCATATTTGGTACAATTTTCAGGGAAGAACCTTACATCGCGTCGCGTCGCGTCACGTCGCGTCGCGTCGGTTTGGTTTGGTTTGGTTTGATGTTTAACCTCGCGAACATTCAGTCTATTTTTAAGCAAATAATGAACATTTCGAACTGTGTTCAAGAAATCGTAAAAAATTGAAACGCGAAAGCACGGATGAGTCATACAGCGTTTGCCTTAGGATATTATAGTACTACAGTGCTTGGTTATTCCAAGATCTACAGTTTTACTTATTTCCAATCTGTTTAGTACCGAAAGCACATATGTATCTACACGAGCGTTTTACGATTCTGACACTAATACTTATGCTGGAAAAGTGAGTGTTCTCTGTAAATCATATTTATCCTATCGAATGTCCAATGATACGAAAAAGTTGCTCGGCTTCAATAAGTTTTATCTTGCCAGAAGAACATAATACATATTTGAAATTTTTAAGTGGGAAATTACAATATGTAAAATTACACACAATACAGATTAGATATAACGTTTTGTTCATGTTAAACAGTAAAATATAATATTTTCAACGTCAACGTGTACGTATAGTTTATTGTTTGAAAATGTGGAATATCGTGGAATGTTGTAGGCGAAAAGTTCGCCCTTTATTGTAAATCTCAATCATAGCTAACTTATCGTACGGTTCAGGCGTTTGTTTCTTTAGCTAGATGTTGATAAAGATAGAAGATAGAGTATAGTCGCGTTACGTAACCCTCAGTTTGATCTTTGATCCTAAAAGAGAGTGTAGTGAGGGACGATGGTGGTAGAGCACAGAAAGGGCGAGAAACATTTTTGAAAGCCCAAATGAAGTGGTAGTAGCGTTCTCGGCATCATTCTCTCTCTCTCTCTTTCTTTTTCTTCTAAATGGCTTTAGGCCAACATAGTTTTGGAGTCTGATGCGAGTTTAAAATTGCCCTAACCGAGCCCCCGAATTTACATTTGTTCTTCTTCTTTTTTTCTTTAGTCACGTTCTTCCTTTCAATCGGTTTTATTTTATTATTTGTTTTGTCTCTTATTTCATTGGATGCATTTAGAAAGTATTAATGGTGCGTCTATTTTTCTATTTGTGCGCAGTGTTGTTCACGGTGGACGATTAGAAAACGCAAATAGAAATTAACTGAAAATCATTTATGATTTTAGCATTCCCATTTGCTACTGGTATTAGAGCTGGATATCCTGCGGTTCTTCCTGGCCAATATGGGTAAGTCTACGTTGATGTGATTTTTTTTTTTCAAATAGATTTAAGAACGTAAGTGTTGTAACTTATCGCAGAATTTAGATGAAGGAAGCGGCGTAAGAAGCATCGAATCGGTCGTAAACATTCGTTTAAATTTTTTTATGATTTTCAAGGCAACTAGACAGAAAGTAAAAAGAAAAATCAAAAAATCAAAAAATCAAAAAGAAAAGAGAATTTTTTTTTTTTCTAAGATCCGAGACAAATATTTTTTACACTCACTCGTATAAATTTTGATGTATACTTTAGTTTGTCTTCTTTATTAACAATATATTTATATTAATAATAGTAAAATATATATGTAGGTATATACATAAGTGTTCGTTTAATTGGATACGATTCGTGGCTGAGATCATAGATTTAGTTGTTGAAGACTGTCTTATATATATAACGTTTCAGCATCCTGATGCGTGCGCGTAAGGCAGCAAGCAGAGAGTCCTCTTTTCGAGATCCTTGAGAGGGCCGCGTGGGCCGTTCTAAGGAGCAAAAGTAAAACAAAATCAAATGAAACAAAAAAAGAGAAAAAAGAAACAAAAAATGATGAAACAAATGTTTATGAAAGAGAGATTAAAAATAACGAACGAAAGAAACGAAAAATAGAGTTCATCTTCTGAAAGAGAAAAGATGGGAGAGAAAGAGAGAGAACCTAATATATATATATATATATATATACTTATTTGTAAATATATATATATATATTGGCGAAAACTATGAAAGAAAGAGTGAGAAAAAGGGAGGGAGGGAGAGAGAGAGAGAGAGAGAGAGAGAGAGAAAGAGGGAATAATATATGGCACACGCACACGTATAGGAAGCCACACGAGTACCTACGAATTTCTTTCGATGAAGTATACACGCTACTTGCAGGGGAGATTTCTTCGGAGGGTTCGGTCTCTTCCTCTTTTTCATCTACCGTATTTTTGTTCTTTTTGAGTTGTGTTTTTTTTTCTTACATTCCATGTTTCTACTTTCTTGGTGAAGTTTACGTTGAAGTGATAAATAATTGAGATTGCGGTTGCTGAGCGAGTTGCGATTGTTTGTTTACTGGTTTTGACTCTTTCTTTTTTTTCTTTTATTAATTTTGTTACTTTTTTTTTTTTAATCTTATATTCACTCTTCAACTACACGCTCACACATATTCTTTTACTTTTCTTAATCAAGCATAATCACAGTAATGACACGGTAACGCGATGATTTTATTTTATAATTAATTATTAATATCTGCGATAATCTTTAGTACTTGTTCTTTCATTGCTAAATTTTTCCGTCACTCGTTACGGCTCGTTTCTGTGATTATATGTCCACGTAATTTTGTTATTCCTTTCTTATTTTCATTATTTTCCTTCTTTTTTTTTTTTTGTCCGCTATGATGCCTCTGGTGACGGTACACTTGTTTTTCATAATTTTAATAAATCGATTGTTTCTTCGATATTTGAATTAGTTGTAAAACTAAACTTAGCTGTAATTTGAAAAAAGTTCATATAGAATTAGAAATGGAACGCATTGAAATAGAGATTTTCGTTGACTTCTCCGGGAGCCATTTAACTCAACGCAAATATTTATTCTTTCGCGCCGGACGAAAAGGAACGCGTGCGCGTGCGCGTATGCGTGCGCGTGTGAGTGCGCGTGTGAGTGCGCATGGTGCTCTCTTTTCCTTTTGTCCGGCTAAAAGCAAAAATAGATTTTATCAGCTACGTCGACGAGGACTCCTCCTCATAAAGAGAGAAAGAGAAAGGACAGAGAACGACACGCCGAGTGTATCGTTTCGATCGTGAAAAATCGACCTGGCTTGGCCCAGGACACAAACCTTGCTGCATCGTTCATTTTTTATTACGTTTCTATCGATTTTATCGCGGTTCAATTTTATTTGGCACGACCAGATTCTTCCGTGTTACTTTCCGAACGAAACTTCTTATGTTATTGTACTTGTATTGTACAATATAACGAGCAAATGACTTTTTTCCAATTATAATTTTAATTATTCACTTGGAATTGATCGCCAAACTGTAATTATAAATCGGAAGATAAGTTTTGAATAAGAGCGATTCACGGTACGGTGAATCGGTATTTCGTATTGGCACGTATCTTAAGTTTCGCGGAAAACCGGAAGTCTCTTTTTGGAACATGGGCAAATAAATAGAAAAAAAGAGATATAGATAGAGTAAAGGGAAAGAAATAGTAAAGAATTAGTACAGGCTCCGCTAACCACTGTAATATTAATAATAACCTTGTGTGTGTGGTGAAAGCTTACACTACACTTGGTGTCGCTATTGGTGTTGTATTTTTTATTTTTTGGTGTTGTACTTGGTGGTTTTTCTTTTACATTATTTCTTTTTTTTTTTAGAATTTAATTATAACAACTGGGAGAAAAAGAAAAAGAAAAAGAAAAAGAAAAAGAAAAGGAAAAGAAAAGAATCGGACGCGTTCGTGAAAGAGAGATGAATGAATACGCGCTTTCGACCCCATGGACGAGGAGAATTCGTTCTTTTTTGCTGTGCACCGCGATTCAGGCCCCATGCAAAGCTCTTCGCATCTTTCAAGAGATATTCGGTCGTCGTCTTGTCGTTTCAAAAGCGTTATATGAGAAAGGAAAAGAGAGAAATTTGGCGCGAGTTTCGAATCCCCTCCTCCTCCTCCTCCTCCTCCTCTTATTACTACTACTACTACTACTACTACTACTACGTACTACTACTCCTCTGGCACTTGGCACGTATAAGAAAAGTTTTAAATATTGTTGCGTTGGGATTTATTTTCGATGGGGACGCAACATGGTGGGCGTTATAAATTAATGGTTAGCCAATGAGAATAATCGTCTAGTATGTAGTAGATGCGCGCGAATACATGTAACATAGGTGAAGGCGTAATTGGCAAGGATATTGCTTGCGTCACGTTCTTCTTCTCTTCATTCTATCACCACGTGGCAGAAAACGCGTGTCCTCGAATTAGCGAAACGTAGGTGGGATCAAGTGAAATCTAACACCGTCCAGCCCGCCGACGCGTCCGCGATGCTTCTTCCAACACGGAAGATGTTGAATTCAAAATTCCTTCCAAAATTCGAGATTTACTTGTTTCCTCTTATTCGAATCTTTTTTTATTTTTTGTTGTTGTCATCGATAATTCGATTAAAGGAAGTGAATTTTGAACCACAAAGGAAAATTAGAATGCATGAAGTTAGTCGATCGATAGAACCGACAAGAGAAAGAAAGAAGATAATAAAAAGACGTAGTCGTTGTCGTCGTGAACGAACCAACAAACAACGACGACGACGACGACGACGGCGACGGCGACGACGACGACGTCTCGCGTCTCGGTGTCGGCCATCTTTGTGGCTCCTGGCGTCGGTCCAGTCTTTATTTAGATCCACCTGTCCCCTGTGTCAACTTCTCGGAGCGAGCCGTCGCGTCGTCTCGAGAAAGGAAGAAAAAAAAGAAAGAAAAGAAAGAAAAGAAAGAAAGAAAGGCAGAAAAAAAGAAAGACGACTGACTTCACTGCTCTCCCTCGTGAAGAGGATTTAAGAGTCTTTAAGGCCGTTTCCGCGCTATCGCGACGTCTATTCTCGAAGATCCCTTTTCTAGTTTGCATCGTCTTCTCTCCCTCGTTAACGGGATACCAAAGCGACGAGAGAACCTACTTACACTTTCCTCGACTAACGATTAGGACGTCTGCCAAACTGCATTTTCATCATTGCGTCTGCATACACAATTCCTTCTTTTCTTTTTCTTTTTTTTAATAATATATTTCGATTATTTGTGTGGGGGTTGTTATGCTTGGTGTATGGATATATATAAGTTTATTTAATTTGAAATTTAGGAACTCGATTTCTCCTCTTTATTCCAATATATTTGTCGAACGATTTAGTTGGAAGAAGAAGTCTTGGAAGCGACAAAACTTCTTATTACTCTTGTTGTTTTGCTCGCGTTTCGCGTCATAATCCAGAATGTCGTCGTCTAAAAGGACCCCGCTTCTATTTCCATTATCGCGACCCTCTTCTTCTCCACCTGTCGTTGTCGCTCATCTGACGCAAATTCTTCGCGATGTCGTCTTCTTGCAGCCTCGTCGAACTATCGTGTCTTTTAGACGATGATCGACGTTACAAATGTTGGCGCTTATGCCACCAAACTTTTCTTCATTTATACATCTTGTTTGTTACACGCGACATTAATAATATATTGCGACAGTTATAGTCGACTCAACGAATTTTTTCATTTCAAATGATTAGTAACGACAAACAATTTCTTTTTCAAAATTTTATTTTCGTAAAATTTATATTCCATTGTTTTTTTTTTTTTTATTGTGCATCGCCCCCATCGTGCATCGTTCTTTCAACGAACGCAGTTTGTTTTCCCGCGACATGTATTTCATCCTCAAGATTCCTCCCTCTCTTCTTTATCCTTATTGGTATTCATCATTTATTTCATCGTAGTATTTATTTTTATATTAGCATCCTCTAGTGCATATTGCTCGAAAAGTCTTAGAAAATGTATTTATGTTTTCTTAAAGTCTTTATCTGTAGTCGTGGATGCAGACAGTTGATCTTTCAAAATAAGATAATAATAATAATAATAAAATAACTGTTAGAACTATTAAAATGTGTCAAATCGAAAAAACTAAAGAAATGTTCAGTGTTTACGTAGGAAAAGCAATTAAAGTATGACGAGGCACCACCCCCCAGGATTCTCTATTGGTCTGGCCCGGTTTCCGTGGATTGGCGGATGATCCCATTGGATTATCCAGGGCGCCGGCGCCGCGGTACAGCCTTTTGGCGGCCTATCCTCTCTCCCTGCGCATCAAAAGCAAGCAAGACACGACCCGGATACCACGCGGGACACCTTCCTTGAGTTCACACATGCGCGCGATTACCTACACGATTAATATTTTCCACTAATTCAGTAAACAAACACAATTATATTCATTATTTCATCTCAATGAATAGCTCTTTTGATAGTTAGTAAGTTTATCGATTAGATTCTCAAAGATTCCATATATAAAAAAGTTCATTTAAAAAGAGATGATAATGTTGAAGGTCGAGTAATCCCCTGACCGACTTTAACTATATCTTCATTCGTAATTCGAAGAGCTAAGAAACACATCATTTTCTTTCCATAATATGTACATACAAGCTGCAAACATACGTCAGAGCAGGTGTACGATGACAATAATTTCTAATCACAATAACGTTCTGCCGCGGTTCGCACCTGCACCCTCTTAACGAGCTTGAAACATATGCACGCATACATACTATACTATAAATACAAGTATATATGGTGATTCGAAAGGCTACGTGTTCCTTCCCACAAATTTACTAGCCCTACCACAGATCTTCACCTTTACGTGGAGTTCATTTTTACCTCCCTATTCTCCTCCTCTGACATCGACTCTTTCCCTATTTTCGTGCATGCGTGTGAGTAGTCAAAGTTGGTGAACAAGTCGAGAGATCCTAATCGCGACGTACGACCACTTTACGTCGGAAATCGAGGGTGGTCACTTAGATCCGTCACGAAAGGACGATTCCACTATCTTCGTGACTTATCAACGACGATTTCTTTTCCCTTCCCCATTTCTCTCCAAGAGTCGTCTTCGAGTCTTATTACATGGCACGCGCGCTTCAATTTCTAATTCTTTTTTTAATGGTCTCTTCCTTTTGGACGACTCATCCAACAGGTTTTAACTGAAATCGCGAACAGATTCTTATTCGCATTCAGCATTTCATGTTGTCAATCGATATCAAAATAATTCGACCAGCAAAGAATATTTTGCTGCAAACGCGGGTCTACACTCATTTACATCCGTACTCATTTACAAGCGGACAAATATTTTAATATTAAAACAAACTCATTTGTTTGTCACTTTGGCTTAATAATAATAATATTTGATAATTCGTTAATGGATATACAAATGTATGTAGGTAGAAACTACGTAAAGTGAGTAAATTATCGGTAAATTGATGAAGCTAGAAGACATATTATGCTCACTTATCTCCACGAGGAATGGCATAATGCGTTCGACCCCCCACACCAATATGCACACTCACAAACTCACAAACACACAAATTGAAAGAGGGTTACATCGATCGTATAAAAGCTTTCCGTATAATGTTCGTTCAGTCGCGATGCGCCACCACGCAATTTTACATCGTGGCGAATTACGGGACGTATTAAAATGACAGTACGTGCATTTTGCGCTAACCTACCAAGGACGTCGATGTAGTCGCTGATAAACGATCGATGCGAACATAGAAATATCTTCAGATACTTTATTTCCTTATCATTTCAATAGAATTTAATATATATACCTAATGAAATGAATTGAAGTAAGACTCGTATAAATAACCAAATTTTGTTTCTACAAGCATGATCATCGTACGTATTCCAAATTTGTGTGCTAATATGTTATATGCACCTATGTCGGTTTATATCGTGCATAGGTGTAATAGGATTGAGATTGAAAATAGTCGGGAGGACGATAAGTAGGGAAGAAAAAAAGGGGAGGAGGTTGGAGAGAAAAGAGGATATAGAAAAGTAGAGTTGAGCACACGCGAGCCATCCATAATGCACAGGCTTTGCTAGAGATGCGGATGACAGATAAGTTCGATGGAAAAGAAGGAGGTGTAAAAAAGAAATAAAAAACAATACAAAATATATATAAAGATATGGAAAAGCGGGACTTGGACAAGAACAAAGAATGAAACGTCTGATAGTTTTTAAAGCATACTTTATAAACACTTTTATTTTCCATATTTAATATTTGATCTTTCTAAACATTTCGATAATTAGTTTTTGGCCTAATCGAATCTAATCGATATGGTAATTCTAAACATTTCTAACATAAATATTTCAATTTCGAGATAAGATTAGTAATCATGTTAAGTGCATTATTCTTTGTTTTTTCTTTTTCTTTTTTACGTTGGATATTATTATATTATAAATTTCCACTCTTGAGTTTCCATTTGAAATAGCACATTTCATATGTTATATTGTCGTGGAAAAAAATGTCTGTTGGTTTATTTTATTTATTTATTCTATGATAGATACAAAGAGTTTATGTAATTCAACAAGAGCACTTTACAATTAGTAGGGCAATTTCTATTTATAATTGAAGAATGCAATTGTAGAGAGCAACGTAATGAGTGGACTCCGTAGATGATTACCTCGAGAGATATCTTGCCTTCGTAGTTACTTTAATAGATCGGTATTCGCTATAAAAGGGGATTATAAATCAATCGAAAAATGATGGATCTACTACGCGTCATCTTATAGTATGATCTGCCGGATACTACACTCGTTCGTTTGAAAGTATCGTCATGGAAATAGCAGGGGAAGAGAGTAAATTCGAGGTTAGGAGCATACCAGTACCAGTAAAAGCTGGTAACGCGCCAAGCCAGATTTGTTTTTGTGACGATCGTCGATCGACTTCCAAACAGTTCATAAATCTTTTTTTTTTTTCCATTATTTTTTATTGTAATTTGAAAATATTCGTAATGAAAGTTAAAAAGTTCGGTGTTGCGAACACTTGAAAAAGTTCGAGGGTGATTTAAGGAATTTTCTAACGCGACAAAGGTAAGACGACAGTTTGGCGTTTCCCCAATGGTGGTATGCGATGGCCCCGGTAATCCGCTTGCCGGAACTTAGAGAAACCGGAGGAACGGGACCGGTTCGATGCCGCAGGACGACATATTGATTTTCCTCCTAGACTGGACACTAGCCGTTATCGATCCGTTAAAAAGTTCAGGGCTGTCTCTGGGAAAAAGAGCCGAGGAATTATCCTCGTTTCTGATGATTTGCCAATCTATATCTATGTCTATGTAAGTCTTTCGTATTTCTCGGAAGGAGACACCAACTTTAACGGATCCGTATCTTCTTCCTCGTTTTCTTTGAGATCGGGAAAGCTGTTTAGTAAGAATAATGATATCGTAAATAGGAAAGAAGATATAAAATAAAAATTGATTATAAGAAGAAAACAACGTGTTGTTCTTGATTTTGATTTGATTTGATTTGAATGAATTTTTCTTCTCTTTCTCTCTTTCTCTTTTTCTCTCTCTCTCTCTCTTATCACGATGACTATTTCTCTGTCTCTTTTTCATTTTTGTTGTTTCTCTCTTTAATTCACGTAAAAGCTAGGTACTAACGTTGGTGTTAGATAATCGTGTGCCGTGTGCCGAAAGAGTATTTCTCACTCGTACACGTTTGTTATTGATGGTTTGCTGTTGTTTTGCCAACACGTTGAAAGGATTTTTTCTTGGATTGTTGCGTAACTTTTTTTTGTTGTTGTTGCCTTATAATTATGTCACACATTATAAACACACATAATACACACCTGCGAAACAGGATTCGCTTCCTTTTGCGCTTTCCTTTTCCAATATAAATAGTTTCCTTGAATTCCTTTTACATTCGCTGGCGATCGCGTTCCATGATAATTACTACTTGGGTTTGAAAAATATGTAGAAGAGAGAGAAAAAAAACAAAACTATAAATAATAAATATGTATATATTTAAATGTATAATAAAATATTCGGTCGTTCGCTCATCTTGCCGGTGGTTTGGTGGTGTTGTTTGGTTTTGGTAGAAAGTTGCGCACGAGCGATAGACCGTTAACATCGATCATGATATTCATTTTCGTCTTTTTTAATGACGTGTCTTTAACAATAAATAGCACCCAGTAGTGAGCCAGTGTTGTAGTTATAAACTTATCACCAGGTTTAATAAACATTTCTTCCTATCCATTGAACAATCCTATCACAGAAGGAAGAGAATTGTTCTTCCGAAAACGACCGTGCTCCAAATGTGTAGAGAGCAAAGTATCCAAATATTTCTTTCCAATTGAACTCATTGTAAATTAATGAATCGGAGCGCGGCAGTTTTCGTGAGGTTTCAAGAAGCCTAGATAAAAAATATGTCAAACAGCTTACCCCAAGGATCGTTTTCACATTTCAGAGTACCACCGGGCTACGTTTACCAATCTCCTTATCTGGCCGCAGCGGCGCCAGGCGGCTTGGTACCACTTCCGGCGACGCAGTTGAGCCACGCAGCCGCAGTTGCAGCTACGCAATTTTACGATTATCAAAATGTGGCGGCAGCGGCTGCCACCTATCCCGGTACTTCCTACAATTTCGCAGAGGCCTATCCATATACCAGTGCTGCTGCCGCAGGTACGTTTACATGATATGACGATAAATTGTATCCTCCGCGAGGATGATACAAATTACTTCAAATTATCAAGATTATTACCTTACGAAGAACACCTAAATGATTAGCAAAATTTCTTAACTTTGCAAGATCCTAACTACGGTCACCATTACTACCAATAACAATGTTGGCTGAACAACGAATGTTCTCTTTAAATTCTTGTCATTTATCTTACGGATTCTTCATTGTGGACTACGCCGAGCGTATTCATTCCAGTCTTAAATCAAAATATGTACGATAATGAAACATTTCAATTCGTGTTATATTTGTGTTCAATTGGTCTCTGATCCGTTTTCATTGTTCAACATATAGTATTGTACGTTGTTATTTGATTGTGTTGTTCTATGGTAGTCGGGGTGACAATAATAACTACGATAAAGGTGTTGGTAATAGTTGTAAATTTGATGTTTGTAATTTGTGTTGTAGGATATTAAGGAAAATTTGGCAGAAAGTAAATATAGTTATGTTATTTTTGCAGTAAATGCAGCGGCAGGTTATGTGACGCCGTACACATATGCAACCTTACCAGGTGCAGCAGGTTTACCTGCTGCYGCTGCTGCTGCAGCAACTGCGGGGGCTGCTTTCCCAGGATTACCATACCAAACGACGCCTCAGGAAGCAAGATTACAATGAGATATGGATCTCGAAGTATTGTCAAAAACGAGAGTCGTTCATAATAATAAGCTAGAAATATCGCTAGCGCCGATTTCGACGATAGGTTCCTTCCTATCGTTTCTGTTTTATAATCAAACTAATAAGGGACAAAAACAACAACAACAACAACTTCACGATTAGTAATTATAGAGAGAGAGAGAGAGAGAGAGAGAGAGAGAAAGAAAAAAAGGAAGATAAGTTTGTTTTTTAAGGATTTTAGAAGAGATTTTAATCTTTTATATTCAACAACATTAAATTGACGTTGATCTCTTCGCACGTGCTAATTATATAAACAAGATACATATATATATATATATATAGATATATATAGATATGTATATTCATATACTTTCTCTCTCTTGTGTAACGTAAGTCAATTGTTTTAAATTTTATAAAATGACGAACGAATTCTCGTGTTGACATGTTTATGTTGAAACGTACATATTTACGTTTCTATCTTATTCTTGGAAGATTGTTTATTGTCTAATAAGCGTTCTCCGCTTATAGTATATAAAAAAATACGACGAGCGATCGTGTTCGATCGCATAGTTTAGACACTATTTTACTAGATTCTATTTATTCGTGCGTGTGAGTAATGAGATTAGAAGAGAGAGAGAGAGTGAGAGAGAGAGAGAGTGAGAGAATGAAAGTGTTGAATGTGTAAGCATATCGTGTCGGCGTAACCCAATTTTTCGTCATTTTTCGTTCCTTTTTAAATCATTTAGAAAACTGTAAGAAAGAAAAAAGAAACAAATGGAAAGAAAAATTTGTCCTAAAGATTTTGCGTCGACATGACATTGTATCTATCATTGTATCTATTGGAGAAGTTAACACTAAGTTACGTTATCTTTGTTAAAACGAAAATACCGAGTCGTTTGTTACTCCTACTCTGTCATAAGAACTACTTCTTGTCAAGAAAAAAACTATATAGATGATTTTAGATAATAATAAGACGATAAGAAAAGAAATTTGTCGTTAATTCGACGAAAATATTAATAAAGTGTCTTACTCGTGTGGCCTTATCTCGTACGGAGAACATTTATTTTCATTCAGGCATAGCAAGAAGAAAAGATCGATATTGTTTAAATAATGATGCGCGAGCGAGAAGGAAGTAATATGAGAAAAGAGAAATCTGATCAAATTTTCTTAGTCTATCTAAAAGAAAAAAAGCATATTACGAAGAGGAAAGAAACATAGGAAGAAATGGGATTAGTTTCCCTTTATAATTCTGTGCCTTATGAAACTAAGCACAATTCGTTTATAGTTATAATAACTAGAAACTAGTCAATAATTTATAAAAGGTGATAACGTCTCATTAAACGTGAATGTTATTTGACCGTTGGATAAATCCGTTATACGGGTACGCCAAATGAGAATGCAAGCGATGACGTTTTGGGACTTTGATTGGTCGAAAGATTTAATAAAACACCTAAATTATTGCATTCGAAAAAGTGAAAGAATCGAGATATGAAACAGGAGAGGATGTCTAGTCCTAAACATTGTTAAATCATACGAAATATGAGATCTGCTCGATTCTATAGATTTTTAAGTAGAGTATGTTTCGCGACAAATTGAAAATAATGAAAAAATAGAGATTGAGGAATCCTTCCTCCTACTTGCTATATAACCTCCCCCGGGTTATATAGGGTAGCTTAATGTATCGTATTTATAATTGATTATTATAGTTATCAAATAAATTTATATTATATATTACCATTACTATTAATTTTAAATAGTTATTATTATTATTATTATTACAATTTATAATACTTGATTATATTTTATTATTACTATTATTGTATTCATTATTATTGACATTAGTTATTGATTATGTTATTATATTATTTTTATCTTTATGAATTGTCGATGATTGTGTACTTAAGAAGCTCGTTTTATAGCGTGAACGAGTGTTGCGAATACAACTAAATAATTTAAAAAAAGATTAACAAAAAAAAAAAAAGAAAAAAAAGAAACAGAAATAACTTCCATCGTTGACGAGCAAAGAAAGATAGTATTTATACATACAGAAATAGAAAAAAAGCCATGAGCGAGAATAGATCTTTCGTCTTAACTATGAATGATCTTTTCTTGGATAATATAGATGATGAAAGAGTCGACAACTGTAATATATTATCTGTTATCTTAATTAATAATAATTATTATACGATATATTGATAGATTAAAGAAAACTTGGAAGCAAATATATTCCATCTGAAAGAAGCCGATGCGAATTTGTTATTAATTAACATATCAAACTTGTTTTATTGTTATTTGAGAGTAAAGGAATTACTCGAATTACTTTAAAAGAGTTAAAGTAACGAAAGATAATTCTATAGATTTTTTGGTAATCTTGATAACCTTCTCCTTTTGGATATTATTTTTATAACCGCTCGTAATTTCCACGCGAAGTAATTTGTTTTCGATCATTTTCTTCCTCTCAAGTGTCCTATTCTTTTGAAATAAATTCTAATTTGTTCGTAAGTCGTTCATTCATTTCGTATTTTTGGTATTTTTGGTGCAGGTGTTTGTTACGCGTACAATTAGCTTGGTTTCTAACCAAGAGAATAGAGAGCTCTTTGTAACCGTTGGAACGATCGACGATCATAGTCGTCGTGTATATTCTCTTCTGATGAGATGTCAGCACCAGTGCAATTCATTCAGAGCGTCCTTTGAATGACGTACCTACCGCTTATCATTCGATTTGATGGGGCAATAGTAGTAGGGGAGCATTACCATTGATACAAACGAGAGCGAGCTCAGTAATCCCGCGATTATCAGCGCAAACTGGAACGCTCTTGGGGCCTCCAGATCTTTTTTTCTCTCTCTCTTTCTCTCTAAACTAAACCGGCACAACTAAACGCGCGCGCGCGCGCGCGAGAGAGAGAGAGAGAGGAAGAGGGCCTACGGAGAGAAAAGGACAAAGTTAAATCTTAACGTGTTTAATCCAAGGAGACTCGCGACCCTGAAAGTCCTTTCCTTTCCTACGGAGAGTCCATGCAGAAGGCACTAGTTTAAGGCCAAGGTGAGAGATCAAGATTCTACTTGTCTCACGTGCCAATCATTACATTTTTTTATTTTTATATATGTGCATATCATAGAAAAGTATACATAGATATTGTTTCCCATAATAAAATAAAACAAATTTGCTTTCGTATCGATAACACCTGTCAGCTACTTCAACATATAGGTAGGTCACATCATTCGGGTAGGCCATGCGTAGTAGTTGAGTAAATGTTTTTTTATTTAGATTTTGCTTATTTTGGAAAATAATAATTGTTCTATCTACAATGTATTCGATGTTTTCGTAAATTGATAAGAAATGTTAATCTCGTTGAAATTCGATGTGATAACTTTCCTCGACGATCATTCCTGAAGAATCTCACTTATCGCAAGGCGGAAGCATTCGAAAGTGCACGTTGATGTGATCGTTGCCAATGAAAATCTTTGTTCGCTCGCTCGCTCGCTCGCTCGCTCGTTGCAATTTCAATTACATAAGTCCGCGTCTCAGGTAGGTGTACACACATGCACGGAGATCCTACCGAGCGCAGTTCTTGCCTCGACGACGATTCACGCAAAAAACGACTACTTCCGACTTCAGTATGTAAATCTTATTTATCTTTTTCTATTTATTTTTCCTTCTCGCAAGGCCAATCTTGCAACATCTTAACACATCTAACTTTTTACAATTTTTCTTCTCCCTCATGATCAAGTTCATTGCACTACTTTGATAATAATAATTGTATTGTTCTGTTTCTTTTGAATTTGTGTCCTTCAAATATATCTTCTTATTTTTCTTCTTTATCTATCGTTTGAGCACAGAATCACTGATAATGAGAGAAATCTAACATTAATAATAATTTATACGTACATATGAAACGCGTTATCTACCAACATTATTATATTTTCTTTTCTTTTATCATTATCAGACAAGTAGATGGTAGATCGTAGGCGAACGATTTCGAGCAATTTTTGCAAATTGCGGTACTACAACGATCGTAATCAGAGTCGCGGAAGTTAATTGTCTTTTAGTGGAACAAGCCTAACTTCTCGTTTGATCTAGGCGTATATGGATATTACGAACACGGAACGAAATAATGCAAAATATTGTTTCGAAATTATTTTCGATATCGCGATTTCAATTGATAAGCAATCGATTAGATTTGTCTTAATTCAGTTTAATCTTCAATTCGTTCATACCTCTTGCCCCGAACCGATAATAATATCTTTGATACGCTCGAACAAATATCCATTATTTATTTGTTTGTCTGTCTGTCTATCTGTCGCGTAAATGCCTTACTTATAATATCGTATTTCATTCGTGAGAATCTTATGGAAATGTACACAACTTACGTAAAAAGAAAGAGAAAATAATTGAGTAGAAGTAAATCATTGAAAAATATGACGCTTATACGATAGGTCGTAAAACGTTAATTACAATGTTATAAATGAAATCACGTAGATTTAAAATTTGTACGATAAACTATTGCAAAGCAGAAAACGTTGGCGCGTTATTTCATTCGAGGCACATATAATTACGCAGATTCATCTATCATAGATAAAAATGTCAACGTAGCGTGTTCTGAGTAGATAAACCGCGATTTCTTCATCGAGACTTTTGCCTTCGTCGGCGAGGCGATCTCGGTATCGATTACCATATCATAGTATTTATATCAATTCTTAATCTCTCTCTCTCTCTCTCTCTCTCTCTATACACGTTCTATAAGCAATTATGTATGAAGCTTTTCCAAAATTAGATATAAAAGATTTTTCAGCGACGTCAAAGGGATGAACAACAGTTGCGGAATATTTGGGATTTATCCCAAATGGCTACGAGATCGAGCTACTCCGAAGAATTTCATAGCCGTTTACGGTCTTTTGGGTACCGTGCAGGCTATGGCTTTCATTTATATCGTCGTCACCCTCACGACATTGGAGAAAAGATTTAAGATACCCAGTCGTACGACAGGTAAGGTCACGTTCTCAATAAAGAAGAGAAAACAAAAGAGATCAAGTTAATGCATTATAAATTACTTGCCCTATTTAAAATGTAAATATTCGCTTCATCAAAATATATTATTATCATCTTTTTTTTTCCTTTTTTTTTTTTTTTTTAAGTCAAGATTTGAATATCAGAATCAATAGAGATATTATAATAAAGTTTTTGAAGAGCCATTAAAACCGAAGATCCATTCCCGCGTTATAATCCTCGTTTGACTTTTGCAAGACGGTACATCCGATATCGTGCGGACCTCCACTTATCTAATTCAAGCTAGACCGAGGGTCTTTCGCAGGCTTTGGTTTTATTTCTTCGGTCCGATGTACCACTTGTCTCGTACGAAAAGACATCATAATTTGCTATCTTCTTAGAGAGTTGATTAAATCCAATCCATTTCGAATGAAAAACGTTTTCCATTATTTCTGTATTACTTATCATCGAACTCAACCAACGAATTGCATTCTCAATGTGTATGCCTTTAACTGCTTACGTTTCCATTCCAACTCACGCTCTCGTGTAACGCATTCGAACTTTATTCATATATATATATATATGTGTGTGTGTGTGTGTGTTGGTCGACTAGGTAAGTAGTTCCCCTCTCTCTTTCTTTATATATACACACATATATATGTACCTATATGTCGCAATCACAGAAGTGAGAAATATGTCGTTAGATGGACCAACTGTGTACATGATTTGCACCACTAATATACTCATGTGTTTGTGTCAGTGTTACACGAGAGCTTTGTTGTTAATCATAAAACGACATCTTCTAGCGAGAGGGTAAGGGGATACGAAACGTCGTCGTTGATCACTTAAAGGCATTCGCAGTTGCAATTTTTCACCTTTTAACGATCGATCGAATTGTAAACGTATTGTAAACGTATTGTAAACGATGTATAACGACTAACACCATTTAAAAACATAAACGTTTTATTTTTTTCTACAAATATTATATAATTGAAGAACATGAAAATAAGATAGACGTTTCTCTTATCAAGTATCGTGTTACAGGTTTGATACTATCGGGAAACGAGATTTCTCAAATTCTCTCTTTGATTTTAACGTATTACGGTGGTTCTGGTCATCGTCCAAGATGGATCGCAGTGGGTGTTGGGCTAAGTGCATTGTCCTGCCTGATTCTTGCACTTCCACACTTTATATTTGGTCCTGGGAGAGACGCGATGGCTTTGACGAAGGAATACCTGGATCAAACTTTGCTTAATGCCACGACAGTACCAAGGGACATTGCGATTTGTCCACGAATGAACGAACCGGAACATTGCGATGATGAAGCTCTTTTAGATGTTAGTCTTCTTCCCCGTTTGCTTGTATTTCTCTCTCAATTCATCCTTGGAATTGGCACAACTCTTTATTACGGACTTGGTCAAACGTATTTGGATGACAACACGAAAAAAAAAAATACGCCTATGTTATTGGGTGAGTATTCAAATAAATGTACAAATAAATATTCTATAGTCATATAGAAAACGTTGTTTTTGTATTAGAGTCTCGCTTATCTTTTACTCTAGCGTCATTTCTGATACAGATACGGATAATCTGATGACCGAAATTGTCGATAAAATGGATAGATAATGTACAATGATTAGAATTATAACCGAAAAACTTTGAAAATAATTAATAATTTTCTTCTTTAGGTTTCACGTTCGCCCTTCGAACCGTGGGGCCGGCGATTGGTTTTCTTTTGGGATACGGTTGCTTGAGTCTTTACATTGATCCAACCCTTCATCCTGTTATAACGAAGAAGGATCCAAGATGGTTGGGTGCTTGGTGGCTGGGATGGATCATTTTAGGCGTTACCATGGGAATGTTCTCTATACTGATAGCCATGTTTCCACGGGATCTTCCAAGACCACGTAACACTTTGAAAAAAGTAAGTTTATTAATCTTACAAATTCTATATAACAAATAAATATTATTTATCACATTAGAATGGTGAGTTGCCATTGAAATTGGAGCAAGCCCTTCAAGAAAAATCAACGAGATCGTCGTTGTCGATAAAATCGACGAATTCATTGAAGCAGGAACACGTGCCGACCATGCGAGAATTTCCAGCTGCCATGAAACGACTTTTAACTAATTGGTTGCTCACTTGTAACAATCTTAGCGGTGTATTCTATGTTCTCGGCGCTTCTGCTTACATCACCTTCTTGGCGAAATATCTCGAAGTGCAGTACAATACATCCGCCGCTGGTGGCACAGTTATTGCAGGTTTGCATGTTATTTTTCAACAACAACAAGTGTARAACACTTTAACCGACACCGTTGTGTCGTGTTGTTAATCGTAATCTTTTTAGGTCCGTTATCTTTGGTGGGCATGGTATTAGGATTTTTATTATCAGGATTGGTAATAAGTAAATTCAAGCCAGGCCCTAGGCCTCTGCTCGCCTGGAACGTCCTCGTTGGTGTATTTTTTGTCGCAGGACAAATCTCTTTCATTTTTCTTGGATGCTCTGATGTAGGAATCGAAGGAGTCGACCTTAAAACAATGCAGTGAGTATGGACATTGACTTGAAGTTGTAATGTAAATATAAAACTATGATAATAGATAATAATAGACGATAATTACCGATTGTTTTCGTTCGACAGAATGAATTTAACGTCCAATTGCAATGCTGCGTGCAATTGCGAATACGTTAAATACGCACCGGTCTGTCACGAAGCCTCGAGCACAACTTTCTTCTCTGCCTGTCATGCAGGATGCCGTACGATCGTCGACGATAAAGAATTTGGTAATTGCAGTTGCGTGCCACCGATAGAGGTCAGTTTAACAAGAGATCAATTAGAAGAGAAGAAAGGGAACGAAGGTTTTTTTGAAAACAAATTCCAGCCTCTTGACGTCCGATTATCCACATATTCGGACAAGGTCCGAGCTGGTCCCTGTCCCTCCAGTTGTAACGGACCATATATACTCTTCACAGTGCTCACATGTATCATACAAACTCTCGCTTGTTCCGGCAAAATCGGAAATGTCCTTGTAAATTATAGAAGCGTCGAAAAAAAGGACAAAAGCTTTGCCCAGGGTGTCACGCTTATGATTATTTCACTGTTCGCCTTGATACCAGGACCAATAATTTACGGTGCGATCATCGATTCGACCTGTTTGATCTGGGAGGAATCCTGCGGGACTCGAGGCAACTGTTGGTTCCATCACAGAGAAAATTTTCGATATCTCGTTAATATCTCGTCAGTTGGTTAGTATTATATTTTCTATTACTATTCTTTGACAAGGTTCGACAAGGTTCGATATAAGATATAATATTCTTTTTTAGGATTTTCTATAATAGGAGTATTATTCGATGTAGCCGTGTGCTATCTCGGAAAAGATTTAGATCTTTACGGGACACTTGAGAGCGACAAACGTCGTGAATTCATTAAACAGGACAATTTCGAGGATATCACCGACTTGAGCAAGAACAAAGTTTTTAATGGGAACGCGAATCAGAGGATAGAACGCACGCCTCTATAATGTTCTGTGCATTTATATTCAATGTAATGCATTTAAGGGAAAGAAAAAGAAGATACACTACAGAGAGAGAGAGAGAGAGAGAGAGAGAGAGAGAGAGAGAAGATGAAGAAAAATATTTTGAGGAAGAACGTCTAACCGATGAGATGGATCGGATTTGTAATCGTAGAAAATTGTGATTTTATTACGAGATCCGCTAGGTACCTGAAAATTGCCGGGAAGATATCTAATAAATGTTACGAACGTTGACCGTTCGTATTACCACGAGGGGGATAGCATTATTTTATATTATATACTATATATATGTATATATATAGTATAAACGTACATGTATATATACAATTATTTTAATGTGATCGAAGAAAATGCTCGCGTTGTACACATACACACACACACAAATCTAGAAGAAAAGAAGGCGTACGAAAAAAGAAAGTTTCATTTAGATTATTGCTCGAAATAAACAAAAGTTTCCAATGATGGGTTCACCACCTTATTATACACCCATATGTATACACATAGTATTTATGATTTACATTTTGCAGGTCGTTGATAATTTATTCGCACGACTTTTTTTCACCGTCCCTGTAATAAAGTAGGAGATATTTGTTTTATTAAAAAAAAAAAAAAAAAAGAGAAAGAGAAAAGTAAAGAAAAACTAAGAATAAGAAAAAGATAGAGAGAAACGTCGAAGTTTTCTCCTGTTACCAGCGTCATTATCGTCGCGGCACCTAACGCGTTCAGATATCTTTCGCTCGTTAGCTTCGAAAATAAAATACAAACGTGTATCGTCGTCGAAACGTTTTACGATTTTTTTTCCTATCGATCGAAAGTATTATCGTGAAAGGTTATGAGTCGCTACATCATATTTTCATTGAAATCAAATTAATTATAAGATAACGCGAAAATACATTTTAAATATTGCGTATATCTGAAGACTAGTAGAAGAAATCCATCCATTTCGACGAGAAACCCTCCAGATTTTAAGTTAAATCTCTCACAAATAGGGGGTAATGCCCAGTCCTGATAGATGATAAAAAAAAAAGGGTAAAGAAATAAAAAAAAGTGGTAGGTAAATCGTTCTCGATCGTAGTATAGTCGTCATCATCCTACCTTACTGTCTCTACTACGAAAGGGTGAAGAAGAAGAGGAAGAATAAACGGAACGAAGGGGTCGTCGTCTTTAGACCTCGGCCAAATTCTGGATGGACGGAGGAAAAGATAGAAACAGAAAGAAGGGATTACTATAGCGAGCCTGAAAGTAAAAAGGGAGTGTTTGTTTGAGAGTCTTTTAATTTTTAAGCCCACCCAGAAGAGCCACGAGGTGGTAGATAGTACTATGTTGTAATGAATTCGCGACGTCCTCGCGACGTCCTCGCGAAGTCCTCGCGACGTTCCCGTGACGTCAGGACGCTGCTATCGATCGCCATCCTACTTCCTTCCTTCTCGGAGGATGCGCCTTTCCTCTTACCTTTTACGGGATTTACGAAAGATGCGAACGAACTCGGCTATCTTTTTTTTTACCTCCTCGAAAACAACGACACCAGAGAGAACGATTATCAATCTATTTACTTTTTCTATTTTATCATCGTTTCGATCGATATCGAATAGTGTGTACTGTGCTAGGATTGATAAGGATTCTTCCAGTAGTCATTTTGAAATAATCATTTTTAGAGTCTATACTACGTGTCATTGATCTTTTGGGCTTTGTTTTTTCTTTTTTTATATTTATAAGATACACGCTTTAAATCGAGAAGATAACCTACTTAAACTTAATCGTCTCGCTATCTTCATTTTAATAATTATAAAAATATTCATGATTAGAAGAGACTAAAGTAATTTTTATCGTCATTCTAAATGAATTTTTCATTAGCGATATTATCAATGTAAACAGTTTATATGTACATACGTTAAACAATTATTTAACGCGCGATAGGATGAAACAATATGCTTACATTTTGTCGATAAATCTTCGATATCTTATAACAAATAAATATTAATCAATAGTTGGATGAAAAATGAAAGAAAAGAGACAGGAAGCTTATCGATTATTGACTTGTCGAGCAATTGAGCGAATGTTTGATGGAGAGGATGGATCAAATATCTCATTCTGTCTATAGGTCAGCAGCATTCATAAGTTTTGTCGATGTATGTACGTGGTACATTGTGCATGACCCTGACCCATCTTTCATATAGACCTCATCAAAGTCTTCTAAGTCGAGGTACAGTCCCATCTAGTCAACGCTCTCTCTCTCTCTCTCTCTCTCTCTCTCTCTCTGTCGACATCTTCGGAGTTTGACCGGCAAAGAGAAATGAAGCATCGCGATCAACGAACCGTTCATACATCAAATAACCAATAATTTGACGGATTAAAACAGTTAAAAGTTAAACGAAAGATCAAATGATTACAAACTAACAATAGAGATGATTAATAACAACGCCGTCTTTCAAATTCGTCTTTATTTTTGACCATATTTTCAAGTAAGCAACAAGTATATCAATATTAAAATTACAGAGTCACTCTAGTGCGTTCCGCGTACAAGAAAAATATTGAAAAAAAAAAAAAAAAAAGAAAATGTCATCAGAGCAAACAGTAGATATCAGCGATTTTGGAGAACAAAAATAGAATTGTCGACGTAATAGTTGGCCAGTAATAAACTCGATGAAGTAATATTCTTAAATATTAAAGAATTGTAATCAATCGAGATAGGCCATTAGTTTCGTGATTTGACTCTTTAACGTCTTTTTCTGACGTACTTACGTATGACGAGATCTCGTCATAAATAAGATAACGTCTACGCGGAAGATGCTGTACAAATATAAAAGAAAGAAAGAATTGTAAATTAAACGGCGTTTCTTTTTTGTTGTTTTCTTAAAAAAGGAATTTTAACCGATTTATCGCGTGAAATAATTTCTTGTCCAATTCCCTTTCCACCCGAAAATCTTTCGAAATAATTTTCGAAGAATTTTCCATGTTTTGAAAAGTATCAAAGTTTCCATACTTGGTCTAATCGATCATTTAGAGAGTTAATCGAGATAAGGTGAAACGGCGCCACCTCTTGGAAATATTTTCTTATTCTTCCAAGAGAAAAGATGATAGCAAAGATTTTTCGTCCAGGCTGCAAGAACATTTCCAAGATCGCAAATAAATTTATGACAAGCCGTTATCGTCGATGTGTAAATGTTCATACGTCTTGTTCATACTCGCGATCGGAGCGTAAATATTGTCAAAGAAGCAAAGACGTTTCTTGCAAATCACGTCGTATGTTAATATACACGTACGTGTCATTTCTTTTTTCATTTTTACATCTTTTTTTGTGTTTTTTTTTGTATAAATATCAAAAAGAAGCCAAGGCAGGCGGATCATTGCTACTACTATTGATTAAATCTTATTTAAATAGTTATTCTTAAATATCAAACTTTTCTAATTATTTTAATGAAATGTTCCAAGCCAATGATCGTCAACAATATTAACGATTGATATTAACGATTATTAATAAGTTACAAAGTTAAATAACAACATGAAAGATTTAAAATATGAAAAAGATGTTTATTAGCGATAAGTAAAATCGACGAGAGGACGACGACGACGAGGACGACGACGACGACGACGAGGACGACGACGAGGACGACGACGAGAAGAAGGTCGGAAGCGAGGTTTGCGAGTACTCGATTTTGCGGTTGCTCCAGCACGACGAAAATTAAATTCCAGCAATTAGCTGACAACTATTAACGGTATAGCTATTTGGTGTGCGCCATTAGTAATGCGCGGGAATAGACGGAAGAGTTTACGGCGATGACGGCGGCGTGTGTCGCGAATGTGTGCTGCTCGTGGTGCTCGTGGTACTCGTGGTGCTCGTGTACATCACGTCGTCGTCTCATCTATTAAATCATAATGGGTTCACAATGTGAGCCTATACTACGGTGAGCTCGGCTAGAAACGAGCTTAGACATCGAGCTACGAGACTGGAAGAAAGACCGACCTCCTAAGGCTAATTACGATCTACTTTGTTCCCTTTCCTTTTTTCTCAAAAAGGGTATCAACACTCTTTCTTTACTTTTTTCTTTTCTTTCCCCCTTTTTTTTATCTTTTACATTATTCATAGAGTCTATTAAATTTATCAAAAGGATAAATTAATCTTACGAATAGTTCAATGTTTTACAACGAATGATCCTAATAATGTTACAAGAAAAAGAGAGAAAAAGAGAGAAAAAGAGAGAAAAAGGGTGTGAAACAGACGGAGATTTAGCAAGACAGGAGAGAACAAGTAGAACACGAGTGGAGTCGTAAGATAGCAAATGCTATATGGAATAGATCGTTCTAGCAAAAGAGAGGTAGGAACGAGCGAGGCGGACAAACGGGAGAACGAGAGAAAGAGAGAGGAAGAGGGGTGTTGCGTAGATTCGAGCGATGCAACGGCGAGAGAGAGGTAGAGAGAGAGAGATAAAAATAGAAAGAGATGAGAGATACGCATCGAGTTGATAACAGAACCGTCGAAGCGAGGATATCATAGGTGCGTATCGCGTCGATCTTCGTGTCGATCTTCGCGTCGATCTCCGCGTCGATCTCCGCACCGTGGACCTCTTTAATTCGGTCGATCCTTTCCTTGTCACACGGTTCACCGACGTCCTCCTCGGTTTATAAAGAATAGTCGCGAGCATTATTTCGTGTAACAACGGTGTTTGCTTCTTCAGAATACTTTTTATTTTCAAACTTTCAACAAATTTATTATCATCCTGGAGAACAAGGAAGGTTGTTGCAAGTGACGTTATCTCGCTTTATTTCTATCTTTCCTTCTCTGTGGTATCAAGTAAGATGGAAAATTGTGAGATCTCATGAGAGGAATGAGTTTCAATTGATTATTCAAGAAGAATAAGAGATTAAGTTCCAGTGCGAATTGTTGCTACGGTGTCGAGACGACGGTATTCGCATTATTTGTAAAAGGAAAAGAGATGCCAAGGACCGGAGATCGGAAACGGAACGCGACAAGGAATTGAGGTCACTCGAAGAGAGAAAGGTCTGAGGGTGACTGTCGTAGAATTAAACTTTAAGAAGCAACGTTATAATCGAGCATCGAAGCATCGTAATGAAGAATTCGAAAAATTCGACAAACAATTCGGGTCATGAAAAGAATGGTCCCGAAAGTTGTAAACTCTTAAGGGTGCCTAGTACCCCGCCAACCACACCAACGACACCTACCACACCAACCAGAGGCCTCGAAGATGTTTTCAGGGAATTACCCATCACGGATGACACCTCCTGTGGTATATGGTGTCTTCGTGGTCCAACTCTACAGAGGTTTGCCAATAAAAAGGCCTATGTTTTCCTCTATGGAATTCTTGGTTGTATATTTTCGGCCAGTTACGCGTATTTTAATGGCACGATTACCACCATCGAAAAGAGGTTTAAGATACCCTCCAAGACAACTGGTGAGCCATCGCTTATTCTTCTCTTTCTTTTTTCATTGTTCTCTAACAAATGTTGTTTGTAATGCCAAGAATTCGTGTCGCAGGTCTCATCACCGTAGGTAACGATATTTCCCAGCTGTTCGTTTCGGTGGTATTGTCTTACTATGCTGGAAGGGGTCACAGACCACGATGGATCGCATTCGGCATTTATACAGTAAGTCTTTTTACAAGCCAAGCATTTTGGAAAATCGATCTAAGCATTTTCTTCTCTGGGAAAAATGCGCAGTAGTATCGGTCAAGTCTGTGTGTCGGTCGTCGTCGGCGGACTCCCCCGAGAGGAAGGAGATGGGAGACGTCATAACGCACACCGGTGGTTGGTCGGTTCTTAATTAAATTATGAAACGTTGAAAACGTAGCTACGCTCATTCACGCCTCTTACCATCTCGTACGCTTAGCTATGCTTAGAAATTCATTCATTCATTGAACGGTGAAAAGGCGCTCCTGGAGTACTTGGAACTTTGCTGCTGTCGTCCATTTTTACTTTGTCGCTAAAAAGATCGTTCGTTATTTCGATAAATATCATCGAGAGACTTTCGTTTCTTTCTTTTTCTTGCACATTATTTTCTCATTTCAATTCTCAAATCTATCTCCTCATTTAAATTATCGTAAAACAAAGTTTAAACGTTTCTTTAGTATTTGTTTAATTAGACTCAAAAATCACGTAAGGTCAAATACACACACGCGCACACTTTTGCGCACAGTCTCTCTCATAGGATTAATTATGACATATTTATCACCGATTCTGCAAAACATGCAAACGTCGAGTTATCATTTAGATAACGAACGGTAAATATCATTTTTACAAGTTTTATAGAAAACAGTATTTTTCCTTCGTTTCTACCATAAATTTAATTCTAATTAAAACTTTGTACAAATACGTACAAATGTTAAACGTCATTGTTTTCTCTTGTAGGTTGTACTCTTTTGCTGTTTAACGATGTTGCCACACTTTCTTTATGGACCAGGCGAGGATGCATTGATGTTGACCAAAGAATACGGCGGAAAAATTCAAAATTCCCCCAACACTTCGACTAGCACCATGATTCCCGATAAATATAGGAAATTTTTGTGTTTGGACAATGCCCGTGGTCCAGAATTCGAAGATACCGATAATAATTTCGCCCCACAAGTATTACTCTTTATTGCTCAATTAGTTTCGGGGGTCGGTGGATCGCTATATTACACCTTAGGTGTCTCTTACATGGATGACAATATACAAAAATCTAAAACTCCAGCACTCATAAGTTTTTCATACTTTTTGAGGATGTTGGGCCCAGCGATAGGTTACGGACTTGCATCGTTTGCTTTGAAATTCTACATCAGTCCAACCCTGACACCTACCATTACAACTCAGGATCCAAGGTAGGAACCCTGTTACGATTCGTAATAGCTACTATAGAAAATTTAAATGTCGATAAACGAACACAGGTGGCTTGGCGCATGGTGGTTAGGTTGGATAATCCTGGCCTTCTTGCTCTTCCTCTTTGCATGTGTGATCGCTCTCTTCCCAAAAACTTTACCAAGAGCAGCAGCTCGCAAGGTTCTGGCATTGGAACGGAATAAATCGGCTGCTAGTATCAAGGCAAACGATCAAGAACCTGAACTTCCTGCTTCCTTGTCAGATATGCTAAGAACGTTTAAACGTTTACTAACTAATACAACTTTGATGTGCAACAATCTAGCTACGGTCTTTTATTTCATGGGTTATATGCCGTATTGGATTTTCATGCCGAAATATATCGAAACTCAGTACAAACAATCGGCATCGGTTTCTTCCTTGATCACCGGTACCGTTGGTCTCATTTCCAGTGCTTTTGGAATTCTATTATCCGGTTTGATTATCTCCAAATACAAGCCGAAAGCTAGATATCTAGCAGCATGGAACGTAATGGTTGGTGCCATATCCATAATGGGAATTATTTCTTACGCCTTTCTGGGCTGTTCGGCAAACGACGATCAAATGGCCATTCAATCGAACGGAATACTGAAAACCCAATTGCCTTGCAACGAGCTTTGCCATTGTGACTACGTTACCTACAATCCAGTCTGTTCTGAGCATGGTCAAACATTTATTTCAGCCTGTCACGCTGGTTGTCGGAACATGCAGGTTTCTTTTTTCCTCAATATTTCTATTTTCGATAATCTTCGATAATGCAAATAAACAACAAATTTTATTTAGTTGCACAAGGACGGCAGTAAAGTCTATACTGATTGTGGTTGCGTCAAATCCAAATTTTCCGGAGTTCTGGCACACTTTATGATGCCGAAAAACTTGTCAAGCCTTACAACCGAGCTATCTACGGAGATTATGGAACCCGAATCGATACCAACTTTAGGTACTGCGATACCCGGAGCTTGTCCTGTCGATTGCATGAGTAAATTTTATATCTTCCTCGCGGTTATGTGTCTACTAAAGTTTAGCGGTGGTACCGGAAGGGCCTCGAATTTTCTTGTTTCCGTGAGATGCGTCGACGAGAAAGATAAGACGGTAGCCATGGGTTTTAGCTTGACTATCATGAGTTTATTTGCCTTCATACCATCGCCCATTTTATTTGGATTCATTTTAGGTATGTTTCCTTCTTAACTTACATAGTATCTCTAATTTTTTCCTTCATAAAACACCGATACATGTATTTTTGTAGACAAGACTTGTCTCGTGTGGGGTAAGACATACACAGGAACCGGAAATTGTTGGCTCTACAATGGCGAGGCTCTTAGATATTTGTTGAACTTTACCGCAGCAAGTAAGTTATTTTCTTTTATTCGTACACAAGATGATAAATAACAAACGAAACATATTTTTGTTCTTTTGCGAAGGTTTTGTAATCATTGGAACATTGTTCGACGTTGGTGTCTGGTATTATGTAAAAGACGTGAAAATTTTCGACGAAGAGATCGAGCTCGAGGATATTGCTGAGGAGCCCGGTGAAACGCTTTGATGCAAGTTTGAGACGATTAGAGTTTTGAAAAAAGGAGAAAGACTTGAAAAGGGAAAAGAAGACGAAGACGAAGACGAAGACGAAGACGAAGACGAAGAAGAAGAAGAAGAAGAAGAAGAAAAGAAAAAGATAGGGGCCGACGAATAAAGACTTTACAAGTACCTTAAGAATCATTTTAAATATTTAAAACTCGTGATATCTATAAGATTGAACTCTTATATTGGTTTATCTCATCGAAAAGACTTTGTCGAATAAGACCTGGTCTCCTTTCTATTAATTTTACTAACTTTTTCATTTACTTGATACCTATGTGATTATACAAATAACTATTGTCAAAATGGATTATTTTTATCAAAGAATTACGTTGGTAATCGATGAAAACTAGATTAGTTTTAAAAATAATTCAATGTTTTATGATGAAAGGCGCGACATCCTGATCCTTTCCTAACGTTTCCAAATATTTCCTTAAATATAAATCGTCAACATTTTTTATTGCGAAACAAGGTTAAATGAAACAAGGTTAAAACTCACATTCATTTACAATATAATCAATTTTAATTGAACAATAAATATAAAATATAAAATAATAATTTACGACTTGGTGATCGTAAGCAACGAAAGTAAGGACATCTTCTACGAGAGAATAGTTCAATAGAGATCGAAGATAATTCCAGTCCGTGTGCTTGTCTATGTGTGCGCGGATGGATGGAAGGGGGTTGGAGTGGTGGTTGCGGTTGTGGTTTTACGGAACATAAATAATTCACAAATCAGTACAGAGTGTCCCTTTGCTACCCTTGATAGAAGAGTTCTTTGGACTGGGAGTTCCTCGAGGATCGGAGGAGCTTTCCCTCAAACTGCCAAATCCTGAAGAAGCTTGTCCGGAAGAAAGTCTTGGTTGTGTCATAGCTACGAGAGGAACCCCAGTTTTGCCAGCCGATCTGATAGATGCTCGATCATCCTCCAATTGTTCTTGGCTAGAGTTCTTTTCGTATTGGTTTATCAATGATTTCACGTCTTTCAAGAACGGAGAGTTTGGTCCAATAGAGTTGTTAGCACTCGAAGGATAATATTCGACTATTGGAATACCAATTTCATTAAAGTCCCCTTTTTTCAAAGGGCCCGCCTTGGAATACTCAAAGCTACTTGTTTTCGATGATCCATCTTCGTAAGATCTCCAATCCTTTTTTAAAACGTTTCTTAACGATCTTGGATCCCCATATTCGTCTGGATTTGGAAATTCTCCTCGTCTTTTCGAGCTCATAGACGAGTTCGATCTCTCCGTGAATTCATCATAATCCTTACTAACGACCCGTTTTCTTGATCTTGCCGCTACACTTCCAAGATCGCTTTCAACGTCCGAATCAAGTTCTAATGGTTTATAGGCAACCTTAGGGCTAGAATCCTTTTTACTTTCGTCACTGGAACTATCCAATTCGTCTTCCGTTTCGAGAACCATTTGCTTTCTAGGAGGATCCCGTTGAAGTACTTTGTCGTTGCTAGTCCCTCGTCGATCTCCTGGACCTAAAGGACCGTATATTAAAGGACGTTTTAATTCTCCTTCTTCTTCTACATTATCTTCTACTTTTGTCTTAGACTCAGTCGTAAGTTGTAATGCGTCTGTTTCTGTAGTTTTTGATATTTCTTCTGATGTTGGAACGACACCTGAATAATCACAGATAATTATTAAACTATACCGATAAACATTGTAAACTAAAAATATATATTTTCTTTTTCTAGTCACCATTGTTATCAGATTTGGGCACGGTCTCGTTTTCATTGGAATTTATCGAAGGTTGCATTGGCATCAATTCCTGCGACTGAGTCGTGTTCTTTTCGTTTTCGTTAATCGGCCTACCATATATCATTAAATTTTTACAGAAAATCCATACTAAAATCTTAAAAATAATACAGATAGCCAGTAATAAAGTCGTCAAAAAGAATATATAGTTTCCAAGCTTTGGACTCTCATGAAAATGGCATATGGTCCCTTTAGCACCCCAATTTATACACGTTATATTCGCGATCGTTTGATAAAGAATTTTACCAGGTACATTGACGAAAAACGCAACCCACATCATCCAGAATCCTATGCTACTCGCTTTATCTTGTCGATAAACCGATCTGAGATTGATCAATAAATCTCCAACGAAAGTAGATGCGACCAAAGCGTAAGCAAGCAAAGTACCAAACTGAAATAGAATCATTTTGTTTTTAATAAACAAATTAGTTGCATTTGTGAAATAATAATGAAATGCTATACTTCAAAAGCTAGCCATCCAATTTGACAACTGGACGAGCCACAAGGACCTTCCTTGGCGTCCAAGTTTCCCGTTATTTCTTGAACACAACTGCAGTCACTGTAGATCTTAATATTGTCTATATATTCTACGGAAGTGCATCCAGCGTGACAAGGTGTATAAAATGTGTACCTGCCTCTGGTATCGCAGACTGGACGAAAATCTGCATCCTTCGAGCAACGGCAATCTTTGTTGCAATATTGCAACAAATGGATTCTTGCAGAAGAATGAAATATCGTGTTAAAACATATGCTAATTAGATAGGATTAAAGTATGCATACTTACGATCCTTTATTCAGCTCAACGACTGATGGTGAATCGCAATATGTAAAGACCAAAGCAAATATTATGACAGTTGCTAAGACCGTTGCAATGAAGCTGTAACCAGCTATGAACGTCGCTCGAGGTTTAGCTTTGGACAATATCAATCCACAAATAACTATGATCAGTCCAATCAAAATTGGTTTTAATAAATTCAAGATCAATCTGGAATGTAAAGGATCTCCAAATCCGAGCAACATTCCCGTTGGTTTAGGTATGTGATATCTGGATTCCAAAATGATATTCTCGTGTGTCATGAGGTTTAAGAGAGCAGTGGCGCAAAAGGCCGATGCGAGAATGTTGCATATCAGTAATTTGTTAGTCATCAGCCTTCCGAGCATCGCACAAAAATTTGGAGTACCGATTTTATGATCGACTGATCTTAAACGACGCAAAGTTAGCGTACCTGCTCGATCGAGGATCGAAGCAGCTGCCTGTTCCACTACCTATCAAATAAGTACATGTTTTATTTTTATAACTATTGCATGTTTCATAATAGTTTTACCTCGGAAGGTAATCTTCTAGGAAACCATGAGAGTAAGAGACCAGGAATTGTCATGGCTGCTGCAAGAATAGGAAAACCGAGCCACCAAGCACCTATTTGTTCTTGATAAGATTCCACCACTTTCAAATTTTCCGCGTCTATCCTGGGTAAAGAAATACTTTGAATATTTACAAGGCTGTCTAATCAAAATATTCTCTATTTATTTAATTACCGCAGACAACCCCAAGCTAGAACGTATCCCAAAAGTACACCGATGATTTTCACTGCAATAATTATTCCGAAAAATCCTGCTACATGTTGTTTTTTGGTATTGTCATCAAGATAGGATATGCCGAGCGCATAGTAGGCTATATTAGCCATGCCTATCAGAACTTGTACGCAACATAAAATTGCGAGTGTGAAATAGCAGGTGTTATCATCCTCTTCTATTATTATTCTGGAAGCACTGGACGAGCATAATTCTGGACTATCGTCTAAAAAGAAGTTACAGATTCGTCAATTCCACTAGAATTCACACATAAAATGTATTTTACATTTGATTTATATTTGTATAATTGAATTAACAAAAATCACCTGCGTATAGAGACATATGAGTGACGTTAAAGGTTTCTTCGATAACTCTAACTTTATGAGTTAAATGTGGTATTACCAATATCACATAGCCAGCACATTGTAATAATACCAGAGCACCTATCCACGAGGCCCTATGAATTTTGTCACCCCAATATGCAACGACAACACCAAGAAAAAAGGGTGTTAATTCCGACACGACCAAAATCCAATCTGCAATGAAACAAGTACTTGTTCAAATAATTGTTCACATTGATTTGTGCAAATCAGCATCACGTACCAATTAAGTAAGGATCAAATTGAAATCTCCTGGCTATCGTAGAGCCAATAATATAAAAATATGCCGATGAAGCAGCTTGAAGAAGGCCAACCCAACAGATTAATCCAACGAACGTACATCTCGTTGCGAATTTTGCTAATTTTGGACAAGGAAATTGTCTACATCCACAATCCATCGATTGACTGGGTATTGGATTAGCTGGCCCTGACAGACCACCTTCCACTTCAGATCTTACAACTTCTTGAAGATGAATGGTCATTATTTAAAAAGAAGATTTTCTTAAACAAAAGAATTATAAATAAGAGTTTCATTGAACAAATCACACGTGTAGGTGAAAAATATGCTACTGATGAGTCATCGTGAATCACTCAAGAGTTAATTAATCATTTTCTCTTGAAATACTTATTTCTAGTGGCAAATTAAAACGCTATGAATTTTGCGATCGGTTAAACAAAAATGTTAAGTATTTTTCTAGAAGAACCTAATCGTTTTGTTATTAAATACCTGTTTTGTGACTTATCCAACGTCCAACAAAAAAATTCTATTAATCAGAGCAACACTGGTCTCTCTCTCTCTCTCTCTCTCTCGTTGTGGTCACATGATGTAATATCAATAAATTTGATTTTTCAATTATTTTGTGGGTATCCTCGTAGGATTTTGTTGAAGTTTTTTTTACGAAGCACAGTTAGGAAAGACTAACGAGAGAACTCGAAGGTGCGGCACTTTGGCTCAACTAACGCGCACGTTATCTCATTACAGATACGCAGTTGAGATATCTTTCGATAAAGGCCGAATGTACTATATGTGTGTGCTATGATAGGAAGAACGTTCTTGTTACTCGTACGTACGACGAATAGATCGAAACTGAGCGCTCTGTGAGACCAAAATTAATCGATAACCGTGAAAAAATGGATGGAAGGCCTATCTTGTCAAATGAGATGGAAATAAGAGACGACGAGAGAGACTTTGGTGAAGATTTTAGCGAGATTCGTGGACCTTTCCTCGTTCATTTTTCTTAGAGGTGTCGGGGATGAATCGAGAGGCGAGCAATTTCTTCGGTCAATGTCTCAGAAAAAAATGAAGAAACACGGGGATAGAGAGGTAAAGGGAAAGAAAGTGGGAGTTGGGAAGGAGTTAGCGTGCTTAAGCATACTTAAGTCGGTGCCATAAGAAAATGACGAATGCTAATTAGCATATGAAAAGCTTCCCAACCTCTCTTTCACCTAGACCGCCTCCATCCTCACTCCAGAGGACAACGATCACGCTCAAACTCGGAGTCGCTTGGCAAGGCGATCACGTTTTTGAATATTAAGGGTGGGATTACACCGTAGGCTTAACGCGCGAAATTTAGTCCGGCGAGGCCACCGCCGCCGGAGGGTACAAAAAATCACCCTTAAGACTCTGAGTAACGGAGTTCGAAGAAGAAAAAGAAGCTTGATAGCTACGAATGTTGCTCTCGTACCGCTATCATGCATCATCTCTTTCTCTTCAGGATGAAATATCTTCAAGATGACGCACTCGTTCGTTGACTGATAAAGAAGATAATAAATGCGTTGCTGCTTTTCCGATGAGAAGATCTTTCTTTCAGTTTCTTCTTTCCAAGGTATCAGTGTTCCCTTTGTTTTATTAAAAGGGAAGATTTTGGAGACAAAGAAAAGAAAATAAGTGGAAGGATTAAAAGTTTAATTATTAATATTTATTAGAATTTAAAAAATCTCTGAAGTTAGTAGAGGAAAAATTCTAGGTGGATTTCTCGCCAAGTGGATTGAATATGGCTGATAGTATTCGCGTACGAATGCTATAGAAAGTGGGGATAGTGAACGACGATAGGGATACACATATATATCTCTTTCATTCACCTTCTCTTTCTCTCTCGCGTATCGAGGATGCAGGGCTTTCCATTAGCGGAGTAAGTGACCGTCGCTCGCATTTTCTTTGATGTCAGTTAATTTACTAATAACATCGTTCTATGGTCACCATCCGGGCCACCCTCTAAATATTTGTACCGCCAACATATCGCGACTTGGTCTCATGTAATTGGGCTTCGTTATTATTATTATTATTATTATTATTATTATTATTATTATTATTATTATTATTTTTAACGTCAATCGGACAAGAAGTAAAAATCTTTCAAGTTATACGACGACGAGAACAAAGTAATCCATTTAATAAGAAATATTATACGAACAATGACTGCTACCCTCGTTCGAGTTGAATGAACTTAAGAAAATTCTTCTCTACCTTCTTCTCAGGAGTTGTAATCTTTGGCGATTAACGTACGATATAGAAAAAGACGATTGACGTAGAGAGAAAGCTAGGATCAGAAGTGGGAGGGTGGGTTGAGAATCAGGGCGGAAAGCTCGCTCGCTTGGCTGGGTCGACGTGGAGGTAGCGAGGTTCGAGACGATCTTAGCAAAGGATTACGTAGAATTAAGTCCTGGACGAGGGCGTGCCCCCGTAACACTTAATTTTTCCCTCGATTTTTTAATCTCTTGGTAAATATCGTCCACCCCCGCCTACGCTTCTCTACTCGTATACTTTTTTTTCTCTGTACTCTTGGTTCTTGGAGAGAAAGGTTCCACCCCTTATCGCGACCACCGTCTTCCCTCTTTCCCATTCCCACCCCTTTTACTACGGTTTTCCTATCTTTCTCTCTTTTCATTTCTCTGTCTTTCTTTTACCATCGTCAAAGGAGAACCCATTTAAAAACCTCATCAATGCTTAAGCTCCGACGCTACCATAGGAACTAATCCCTCCTATTTTAACGTAGAACAGAAAGAGAGAGAGAGAGAGAGAGAGAGAGAGAGAAGAAGAAGAAGTGAGTCGGCGGTGTGCGCTTTTAAAAGTAAGACTCCGCCTTTATTAGTAGATACAACAGTTTTATTTCCACCGAAAAAGACGCTGGGTAGGATTCTTTTATTTTCTTCGCTAGCTTCTTAACCCTTTCTTTTCTTTCTTTGCATGTACAGACCTTTGATACTTGTATTATCAGAACTCGTAAAAAGTTTCCTCCTTTTATTTAGAGTCATTGTTTTAATGATCAGAAAAATAATGATTATTCAATGCTTACAATTAGTTGGAGAGTAATTCCATTTCAATAAAATGAATAAAGATACTAAGGCATGCTCGTGTCGAATGGAATTTGTAGAGGGACAGCTTATTCGAGTCGATTTCGACCCGAACTGCGACTGCGGTCAAACGGACGGGGTGTGCGCACGCTCGCGGTTATAATACGCTTTAAACTGTTAATAGAGTACGTCGAGGATGCTTCACCTCGGCTGAATCTCGAGTGTTGGGCTAACACTCGTGGACGGAATTAATCTACACACCAAACGACCGGATGGACGCTGCCCGAGTTGGAAAAACCGTCGACCGTCGATTTTCGTCGCGAGCTTTCCGCCCACTCAACGTTGACCTCTACCACCCTTTACAATACGAACATGTTCGAATATGGAACACGCTTCGTCCGAAAGCGATTCGTTCGAGGACTGTTGACCTTTCCATCAGGATAATTAAAAGAGAAAATAAAAAATAAAAAAAACCAACTTCGGAATGGATCATCTGATGGAATCATTTGGAATATCATTTGTATCAATTTTCTAGTTTCCAATCGGATGTCGTTGAAGTTGCAATGCCTAAGGAGAATTTGACGCAAAGATTATTGTTCCTATCCGATATAATAGTTTACGATACCGGTATTGTTTTGAAGCTGCTTTAAAAGGAAAATATAAAATAAGTAAGGTTTCTCTTAGAAAAGAAGTTCCAACGCGATAACGGAGGTTGCAATAAGAAGACCGCGAAGAGAGTGAAGAACGAGAGCTTAACATTACAATGCCCACTCAACACACACAAGCACTTTCCTGTTTCTCTTGCCTATCAACGAGTCGATGAACGAAATATCAGCGAGACTAAGGATTAGAAGTCTTTTATGAATAGCAGATCTTGATGAATCGTCCTATGTTGAATAAAATCTCTATCATCTCTCTCTTTGCGTTCGGTCCAACCGACACTAATGGCTTTTCTCTCGATCTTCGCGAGCTATTTTAAAATAATTAAACTTCAGTAACCATTTACTATAGTAGTCCGATTAAGGAAATACTTGAAATTTATCTGAAGAAAAGAAAGCTTAGGGTATAGAATTTCTATGTTAAAAGAAACACTAAAAAAAAAAAAAGGGGAAAACAATGATATGCAAGTAAGACATTTCGCTACGATATATTTGTTCCTCGCGATTGAAAGAAACGGTGATGCTGGATGGTTGGCAGTGAAGATTTCATCGACGATTTTTTCAAATAGAAATAAGAGTTTTAAAAATCAACATATGCGCGCACGGCAGATCAAAAGACGCGCGCCCATCGATAATTGGTAGAAATCTTTTCGCTCAATTTTCCCAACCCTAATACCCCTGCCCTGCCGTCGTCGTCGTCGTCGTCTCGTCTTCGTTTGAGGATTATAAGCGTTTCTCCTTGCCAATGGTGCTTGCCAATGGAAAAAGATCGCATATTTATTCTGTGTCTTCGATATCGTTTGATGGAACGGGTATGGGAGGGCTGAGAAGCTCGCTGAGAGTTTGGAGTTTATAGTGGAGAGGAAAGTCGAAGGGTTGGGGTTGGGGTTGGGGGAGGTGTTTGACGCGGTCTGTATCGATAGGACCAAACGAAGCGTTCTCCCACCCTCTCTCTCTCTCTCTCTTCCTCTCTCTCTTCCCCTCACAGAGTCACTCAAATGAGGATGTCTTTACTTTGCGCTTTACTTTTATTTATCTCCGTGAAAGACGAAATTCACGGAGACGACTCGAAGACGACCAACTTTTTTTTGCATCAAATGGAAAAAGAAAGGTGGTCCTTTTCCTTTTTCATTTATTATTACGTTTTTCTTTTTTCTTCCTTCGAGTTCCAGACTCTATTTTTCTTTCATCGTTAAGGGAATCGATCAATCATAAATACCACGTATATCTAACCGCAAGTTGTAATAAGGAATCGATACACAAAGTTACGAAACACATTTCCACTATAATTAATGTTTGAACAAATTTCGTTGAAAGAATTGGATAAACCTCGTAGGACGAACAATAATATCTGTTCTCGATTTTGGTAAGAGCGCTTTCCAAAAGAAAAGATGCAGCGGATGAAACGAAGATAGTAAGAAGAAGAAGAAGCAGAAGAAAAAGAAGGGGTTAACTTCTAATTGTTTTGTTAAATGACGCGCGAGTAAGAATCCCTCGGAGGACTTAAGCCCCAAAGCGAGCGCACTCGG